TATTTTGAGCTGCAGTGATGGAGTGTAAAAGTAGCAGCACTGTCAGCGATCACTGCAGACTAAAATAAACTTAATAATTTCAAATAGTGTTTAGTGTTGTAAATGATCCCTCCATTTGTTAGAAGCTCTGTTTTAAAACCAGTGGAAATAGAGCCCTGGAAATACTAAATGATTCTACTGACCTATAACAGCATATAGGCTCCTGTTTTTAACCTGTCACTCTGGACTTTCATTCATGGATACTTTTTTCTTCAGTGATCTGATTGGTCAGATTTTGGGATGTTGACAGGTTGTGATGCGATACTCTGAAGTTAACCATCTCTAGATCTGGGGCCTGTATCACGAAGCGAGATCAACCTTTCCTGGGTTACCCAGACCTATCCTGGGTTGACTAACCCTAACAATGGCAATCAGGATAATCGGTATCACGATGCTGGATATCAACTCGGTAACTCAACCCAGGGTTGCTTTATCAAGAGCCGTGAACGCGCACGCAGTGGACCAATCACAATCATGAGAGAAGCGCAGCGTCACTGAGCGTCACTGAGCGTCCTCACAGAGCGCCGTATGTGAGGGAAAAAAAGTATTTCTCGTGAGGATCAGACATTAATTCTACTAAAATATGAGGAGGAGAAAAGCAACATTACAGAAAAGGCCAACACCGTGGCAGCTGCAGGAGGAGGAAACATGCGTGGCAACGCATAACGGGATGAATAATGTTTAGTTTTAGTTTGGATTAGTTTATTTGCACATAATGTTAAAAATAGACAGTATAAAATTTACAAGATTAAAAAAAGAAAAGTGTCGGAGAGGTTAGAAGCCACTAAAAGCTTATCAAAGAAATTCCCCTGTCAAAACATCAATGAAATCACATAATAGAGAAGAAAAAGAAAGGTAAGGAAAGAAGAAATAGAGGAGGAGAGAGGGAAAAATCAAGACAAAACAAGGTAGCAAATAAAATGATGTGTAGGTTAAATTACTCATCACTGGTTCAAGTAGCTACAGTACCTGTACCTGTACATCTGACACTGATCACACCCTTGAATCCCATGAAATCAATGCTGCGCAGATGAATTGCGTGTATTACAATTATCGTCTAACATCATTGCGTCTGATGAATTGGTCTTCTTTGTCATAACGTTATATATGCTACAATAAAGCTTAAAACTGACGTCACAATTAAATTAAATTGATAGTCTGAATAAAATCATTCTGATATTGAGCTGTGTTAGAAATTAACAGCTGCGCAGAAATATACCTAGTCTCCCTCTTTAAAAAACAAAAAGGAAAATCCCTCAGACACCATGAAGTGTAGACATGATAGGCTACTTTCCACTTTCCAGCAGCAAAGCTGTCAATTAGGCCCATTATCTTTAACAGGGATCATTTCCTCCAACAAAACAAAACGTATTAATGGTGCTATTAAGTGTCCGCAAATGATGAGTTTCTTTCTTATGAAGGGGTGGGATGAAATTTCGACTTCTTTCCAATCCTTTTTGAACAATCTTTTCATTGTCTGTTGTTGTTGTTGTTGCTTTCTTTTCTTTTTTAATGTTCAAAATAAACTTTCAAATCAAAATCAATCAAATGAATTAAACTTCCCGTCATGACTGGGCTGCATTTCTGTCAGCGGAGTCATTTTTTTCCGAACAGCCGATTGGCCAGTGGGTGGTGCTTTTTATAGGATCAGATTCAACCCTGAACTTACCCTGCTCCAGAGCAGGATAGCCGTTTCAGATTAAGTTACCATGGTGATCTACCCCGATAAGAACTGAACCGGCTTTGTGAGCTTTGTTTTTTCCCTCTCACTCTCTCCATCATGTGGCCCTTCAGCATCCTGACGCCCCGAGTGTTCGCCTGGACCGCCTGTAGCAGCAGCAAGGGCCGGATCTGTCTCTGTCCTCTCTCTGTCCTGCTGACAGCATTACTCAGTCAGACTTATGCAGACATTTGTCTCATGGACACAGAGACAAGAACAGCATGAAATATGAGCACATTAATCATCAGGTCTGCACTAACAGGAAATGATAAAAACCATTTGAGCATTCATCCGCACACATTCTGTCTTTTCTTCTCAGCACTTTTTAGGACTGAAGAGGAAGTATTTAGGAGATTGACTTCGGTTAGAATACTTAAACCTCACAGTTTCAACAGAGTAGTTCAGTATTATCAGAAGTATTAAGTAAGTAGAGAGGACCTCAGAATTGCATCTCTGCTTTTTGCAGATGATGTGGCTCTGTTGGCTCCATCACACTGTGACCTCCAGCATGCACTGGGGCATTTTGACGCCGAGTGTGAAGCAGTTGGGATGAGAGTCAGCACCTCCAAGTCTGAGGCCATGGTTCTCTGTGGATTGCCCTCTCCGGGTTGGGAGAGAGTTACTGGTTCAAGCGAGGGAGTTCAAGTATCTCATGGTCTTGTTCACGAGTGAGGGTAGAATGGAGCGTGAGATGGATTGGCGGGTCGGTGCAGTTTCTGTAGGGATGTGCGTGCTGTGTTGATCCGTCGTGGTGAAGAGGGAGCTGAGCCAGAAAGCGAAGCTTTTGATTTACTGGTTCATCTATGTCCCAACACTCACATGTGGTCATGAACTCTGGGTAGTGATTGAAAGAATGAGATCGCGGATACAAGCGGTGGAAATGAGTTTCCTTCATGGGGTGGCTGGGCTCAGCCTTAAAGATAGGGTGAAGATCTCTGACATCCGGAGGGAGCTCGGAGTAGAGCCTCTGCTCCGTAGCGTTGAAAGGGGTCAGTTAAGGTGGTTTGGGCATCTGACTAGGATGCCTCACCTCACACTGGAGGTGGTCCGGGCACGTCCCACTGGTAGGAGGCCCCGGGGTAGACCGAGAACACACTGGAGGGATTACATATCTCGTCTGGCCTGGGAACGCCTTGGGGTCCCCCAGGAGGAGCTGGAAAGTGTTGCCAGGGAGAGGGATGCCTGGGGTGCTTTGGTCAGCCTGCTGCCCCTGCAACCCAGCCTCAGATAAGCAGATGAAAATGGATGGATGGATGGATGACTTTTGATTACTGATGCAGTGACCCCTGAATGTTGTTGTGTTTTATACTGGAAAGCACTAGTTTCCAAAATGAATGGGTAACGCTGAGAATAGACTCTGAAACTGGCACATTGTATTTCAAAGTTGATTGACTGGTTTTGAAAAATCCAACCTCTAGATTTTGAGATTAAGATTTCTGATTGACTCACAAATCAGTATTCTGGATTCTGGATCTGACTTGCCAAAGAGCAAAATCAATATGTAGAGCTGCATATTGAATTTGGAACTTGCTGACTAGATTTGGAAATCAGTGAATATTTGGGTGGATGATCAGTAACTTAATAATCATAAATGAAATGATAAGTTTGTGCCTTTACTATATGTCTTCATTTTGCTTGTCAGTGATTGAAAGTCAGACTGATATAACTGATGTAAATGGGATTATTAGTACTTTGTCTCTTTCTTTGCACCTTAACAAATTTTACATTTACAAAATTTAAATTATTAATCATAATAATGTTGAGACAAAATCCTGCCTAAGCCACTAGCACCAATGCTTGTATTTAAAATATCATTTGATTTACCTACCTCTACCTGAACTGTAGACTCATCAGACCACAGCTCACTATTCCACTTTGTGTCAGTCCTTTGTGAGCTCGGGCCCAGAAAGGATGGTAGTGTTTCTGGAGGACATAGCTTGCATTTGTAGATGAAGCGATGAACTGTGTTTACTGAGAGTGGTTTTCCAAAGTGTGCCTGAGCCCATGTAGTAATATCGTTTATACAGTCATGTTGGTTTTTAATGCAGTGCAGCCTGAGGGGTCGAAGGTCATGGGCATTCAGTGTTGGTTTTCAGCCTTGCCCCTGACATGCAGAGATTTGTCTGGATTTTAATGATATTGTGGATTGTAGATGGTGAAATCCATAAGTTCTTTGCAACTTTGTGTTCTTAAAGGTAGGATCCGGAGGATTTTCAAACAAAACAAAATATAGACATATACAAATGAAATCCTGCTTAATCATCACCTATGGGCTTCTACTCATGTGTGGTGGTGACTGTTTGCAGAGCTCCTGCCCTTTAACTGTATTTTGATGTTTTTGTGAGCTCGGACCGCCTCTGGGCGGAGATTTCCCCAGCCAATGAGAGAGCGCAGGTTCCGTGCCCAAGCGTGTCTGAGCGTGCACCAGCGCGAGCCTTGCCTGAACCTCTTCTGTGAAGCCTTCTTCCATACCTCCGGGCTCCGTACACCCGGGAGAGTTGAGCCTGATAGGAGGGGCCAAATTTGAATGTGTGTTTACAAACAGCAACTGGAAAATCCTCCAGACCCTACCTTTAACGCAGTTTTTCACAAAGTGACCATCTTTGCTTGTTAACAACTGAGCCTTTTGATGATGCCCCTTTCAATCCTACTGATGATACTATAATTTGTTACAAAGTCAATTCAATTCCATTCAATTCAGTAAATTTGTAATTTTTTATTTATACTTTATTAATCCACCTGAGGGGAAATTCAATTTTATCACTCTGTTGTCATTAACACACAGGTCCAAAATACACACACATGCACAAGGACCTATACATGCACGAAGTGGAGAGATGTCAGAGTGAGGGGGCTGCCCATGGACAGGCGCCCAAAGCGGCTGGGGAGGGGTTCAGCCTTGGCTTGCTCAAGGGCACCTCGGGAGTGCCCAGGAGGTGAACTGGCACCTCTCCAGCCACCAGTCCACGCTCCGTATTTGGTCTGGACGAGGGCTTGAACAGGCGACCATCCAAATCCCTATGGACTGAGCTACTGCCTCCTAAATGTCAGTAAAATGAATGGCCTTTAACATGTTTATTAGTGGAATGTTCCACAACTTTCCCAGTCTTTTGTTACCTCTGTCCCAAATTTTTTGAAATGTAGAATGAGTGCATATTTACAAAATAACAACAAGTTTATCAGTTTGAACGTTAAATATCTTGTCTTTGTACTGTATTAAATTGAATATGAGTCAAAAAGATTACAAATAACTGAATTGTGGTTTTATTTACATTTGACTCAGCATCCCAACTTTTTTTGGAAATGGGGTAGTACATACAACAGAAACACGTTTTGTGCTGCTTATTCATGTCTATAATCACTGTGAAGGGTACATTTTATATGTGTGCAACAATTTCAGGCTAGCCACTAAAATCAAATCTGGCCCAAATTTCTTAAGGGTTGCACAGTTACTGTAGTGTCTTCCTGAGGAACTCAACCAGGAGGTGATGAGGGAAACCAAAATCCATCTGAATCACCACATAACCCTACAGCACAAAGAGAGAAATGGAGATAGAGGAGCAATGTGACTTAGTAATACAACGCAAATACGGCACCTAACAAGATGTAAAAAAGTCAAGAGAACACTCACATCCCGGGAAAGCACCTCTGGGTTAAAGATGTCAAATAGGTTAGTTCCTTGTTTGTCCAGCAGCCTGGTTAGTTCAATCTCCAGAACTGGAAAACATGCCAGAAAACCACAGTATTACACACCACTTTAACTCTTTTCTACAACTGGAACTAAACAAAACATAATGCAACATGCAGCCGTTACAGGTTCCACTTTAATTTCATTAAGCTACATTTTGACCCTGTTAGAGGTTGATACTCCAAGTTACAGTTATTTTCAAGCCGAGTCAGCTGTAAATTGTGATTTGTAATGCAACTGCTTTGACTTATCAAAACTATGAATGCACTATTGCAAAAACAGAACAATAACCCCAATTTTACTACAGAATTTGCAACAGCCAACAATTGAAAATAAATACATAGCACTGTAGTCCCTTCATGTTTCAGGAAAAAACTTGGAGAAGAAGGTGGAGAATGGAGGATGAGTTGAGGACTCATAGCTGGAGGAAAAAGCTGCTTGCTGCTGCTCTGCCAGACAGCAGCAATTTGAACAGGCAATTATTAGGGTGGGTATTGCCCTTCAAAATGCTTCGGGCTCTGCTCAGACACCTCACCTCACTGATAGCCCTGATGCTCAGCAGTGTTGGGCAAGTTACTCTCAAAATGTAATATATGACACATTACAAGTTACTTTACAATATTACCCTCTGTGTAGAGTAATAAGTTACTTATTACACAACATCTGTGTTAATTTGATCAAAATGAGCTCAGAAGAACTACTGCTGATTTTAAATGGATGAGGGTCATGTTGTTTCACAGCAGGTAATCAAAGCACATAAGCTCCTGTTTATTATAGTTAATTAAAAAAATCCAGATTCAGATGTGCCAATCACTGGCACCCTTCTATAATGTAGTCTGTAATGACTTGACAACACACAACAACCTTCGGGGGATAATTTTTCTGGTACCACACTGGCGAAGATGGAGCGGTGTGGATGAATTTAAAAAATGAAAACAATAAAAAGTTAATTTCAGGTGGTAACATGTTACGTGACATTGTAAATGTAATAATATTACCTGAAATCCTGTTGGTAACACGTTATATTACCTTGTTACTGCTAAAACATAATATATTAATGTAAGCTTTTGTAATGCATTACCCCAACACTGATGCTCAGTAGATGGGTGCCAGTGATGTTCTGAGTGGTTTTAATAACCCACTGCTGAGGCCTCCTGTTAATTTGTAGTGTTTCCAGGATGATTTCCTCTGCTCCTCTATAAAAGTTACCAAAAACATGGGAGTTTAGTTTCTTAAGTTGGCCTAAGAAAAACAGATATTTCTGGGCTTTTTCTAACCAGGATGGAGATTTTTGATGACCATCATCATGTTCTCTGTGATGCTGATTCCTAGAAACCTCAGACTGTTCACCTGCTTCACTTCAACTCCACTGATGTAGACAAGGGTGTGTGTCACTGCCTCCTTTTTTTTTTTTTTTAAAGTTATGATTAGCTCTTTGGTTTTGCTGATGTTGAGTAGCCTACTGGTTGTTCTCTGAGTACCACCCTGCAAGATTTTGTTATTTCCTCCAAATATGAATTCTCATAGTTGTTTGATGAGATGTTGTCCGCAAACTTCAGATCAGGGACTGCAGTCGTTGGTGTACAGCTTAAAACAGGAGGAGGCTGAGCACACAGCCCTGGGGAGTTTCAGTGTTCAACACTATAGTGGAAGAGATTTGGCCACCAATCCAAACTGTCTGTTTGTGAATAAGTCCAATATCTAGTTGGAGTGTGTTAGGCCCAGAGTGCTGACTTTGTCCATCGGTATTTTGGGGGAGATTGTACTGAACACTGGGCTAAAATCAGCCAACAGCATTCTGACGCATGTGTTGTTATTTTCAAGATGTGTGAGGGCTGAGTGGAGGGCAGTGGAGATGGCATTCTGTGTGGATCTGTTGGCTCTGTATGCAAACTGGTCCAGGTTGGCAGAGATGTTGTATTGATGTGAGGGTGAGTTCCACATTTGGAATAGACACTGCAGATTTTTTAAGCACAGGGACCATGGTGGCTGTCTTGAGGCAGGTGGAAATGCTCCATTTTGCAAAAATTCCACAAAAAGCAGGAAATTAAGTCTTTGACAATCAAAATCTCAATATGTGATTAATATATGTCTCCCCAAATGAAACAAACCCTATGCCCTTGCTATGACCTTATTAATGAACATAGAGCTGCATCAACATCTCTATGACAGCATCAACAAAAACTGAATTTGTGGCTGATCTATTGTATTGGATTTCTTTAAATTGTGTAGGTGTACTAAAAAAGTGGCCAGGAAGTGTGTGTTAAAGGAGGCAAGAGTGTGTTTGAAATAATAATAATAATAATAATAATAATAACAATTATTGTTATTATTATAAAGAAAAAGATGAATAATGATAATATCATGCATCCCCAGACTCAATCAAAGGTGTTGTAGCTAAGCCTCAGATCTCCACTGACCCTGAAACAGCCTCTGATGGTGGGGTCAGTGGGTTCAGGTATAAGACAGGTTTTATACATTTCTCTGTCCCTTACCAGACAGGACTTTGGGGATGCCTATCTTCTCCACAGCTTCTCTTATGAACTCCACATGTACCTCATCTAGCAGCTGGAAAAAGAGGGAGAAGTGATTTAAAAAGTCCAATCAAACATTCAAACAACAGCATCATTTTTAAACAAGCATGATGGATGAAAATAATTTGTGTTTTCTGACTGATCACTAATTGGTATCAGAAGAATAATGATAAATTATAGAATGTGTCTTTTTGTACTGCAGGGGTTACACAACAGACATAGAGGTATGCATTAAATGTGTTATGGGTGAGGTCAGTTTGTGCATTTGTGCCACATTTTCTGGTCTGTTAACATTTTTGGGAATAGTGACTTTATTTTGAAAGATTTGGGCAGGAAGCCTTACTTATTCTGGTGGGACACATGAAATGCTTCTCACCATAATACACAAATTGTTCCAGGATGATGTTCAAGTCTTTTACTGTCCTTAAGTTTAGTTTTGATGTCCTTGTACTTTAGCTGAGTATTTCCATTTTATACTACTTTATACTTCTACTCCACTACATCTTCTTCTAACCGCTTCATCCTCTTGAGGGTCGCGGGGGGGCTGGAGCCTATCCCAGCTGACATCGGGCGAGAGGCAGGGTACACCCTGGACAGGTCGCCAGAGCTAGCTTTATGTCATCTGTCAAAGACTGATTCTTGCAAATACCATCAGGAAAACTAGGAAAAATGACCCGTCTCACGTACTACTGTCAGGATATAATGACAGTTTCAGCAAATGTCAAAACTTTTTTCTTTTTAAAGTTACTGTTATGGCTTTAAATATAGTGTTTTCCACAACAAGAAAAACTGTCCGTGAGATCAACTGAAAAAACGTTCTTACCATTTGATTTTGTAAGGGCACCTCCACTTGTGATACAAAGACCCTAGAGAGGAAGGATGATAACCATCACACACCAAACACAGGACATGGATTAATAATTTAACTTGATATAGCAACCCGGTCTCACTCCGAAGTCATTGAAATCCGGAACTCCAGAACTCCAAGTGGGGCAGGGGGCAGGGATGGTGGATGGGTCCAACAACCACCGACTTTCAGGCCGGTGTTCACCCCTCATAAGATTGTAAAGCCAAACCTCTTTTTATTTCCCTAAACCCAACCATGTCCTTGTGCTGCCTATGTGTATGCAAAATGTAACAATGTGTGTTTGTTGTTGAAGGAAAAAAACTTAAATTCTCTGTGTATTCTTGTACTAATGTGAAGCATTTATTTTAAAAGAAACTGTATGCAAACTGTACATTTCCTGTGAAAATGGAAGTGTATTTTGAAAAAAGACAATGCATAAACCAGGCTGAAGTTGACCCAGAACATCAACAGTCAGCGCACCCAGGATACTTTGCACATCATATCTGGACGTGGAAAGTAAATGACCAAACCCTGATATGTGACGAGGTCGGGGTGAGCATGTGTTGGAAATAGTGGTGGGTATATGAAATTGCTTCAGAACTGGTAGGCTGCAGCAGACAATTTCTGTAATTTTCCTAAATCAGCTATCCAGCAGTAAGGCCGACTTAACACGGAGATGAGCCAGATACAGGGAGGTGAGAAATAGTGTTTGAACTTCTCTTCCAAACTCCTTGGAGAAATTTTTGCTATTTTACCCAGCTGTATGATTACTGCATTTTGCCCCTTTCTATGACCACAGGCTTTCACTTGACCTTCGGCTGTGGCCTTTTGGAATAAACCTTTTGCTTTCAGGCGTAGTTGGATGATATGCTTTGGCGTTGCTTAACTTAGTCCCTTTCGTATGTTAAATTTAATGTCAGATGGACAAAAATAACTGTGCACAGGTTGCAGCCTGAGCTCTGCAGGCAGGTTGTTCAAGGCTCAGTAAGTCTTTAAAAATCAATAAGAAAGGTACTTACTCTGAAGAGTTACCCTGCAGGAAGACTTTCTTGTCAGCATAGGAAGCCCTGACATCAATGGCCACATCCTACACATCAAAAACAAACACACACACACACACACACACACACTAAAATAATTTCAACATACCCTGACCTCACATTACCTTGACAATTGAACAAAGACCATGTAGTCACAGATGGTAATATTTTAACTTTTTAATAAAGCCTCAGGCATCAGTCATCACCTTCAACTTGTGAATCACGAAGTACAGCCGAGGTTATGCTTAAAGTAGGCTAATCAACACAGTATCAACCTTTCAAAGCAAAACCAATCTGCCAAGATGTACCTATACTTTGCTGAATGTTGTGTGACCACAACAACGAGGCTTGGTTTTGTTACGTCACATCAGAGAGCTATTGCATTAGTTTTAATATGAGATATGCATGTCAATCTGCCTTAGAATTCTAAAGCAGAGATGTAGACATTAGAGTTTGTGTAACCTAACATGAAAGCTCAACCAGAAACTGTACGTCTATAACAAGATCAGACCCTATCTCACCTCTGCTGTTTCAGACACATACCTGCATGCAGTCATTCTCTCAAATATATCCTACTGTCTCCCCATATGATCCCTCACCACCAAGGAAAACACTGAACCCATAGCAAGAAGACACAACAGAGTTTACAAGATCCATGGTAACCTCCCTCTTTGGACTAATCACTGCATCACACTTTCCCATTCTAATGCCCTGACTTTTCAAAACTACACAATAATCTAGCCAATAAACTCTATTTTTCAGATCCTGCACAACAACTCCAATCCCACACTTAATGCACTACTTCCAAGTCACAACACAAAACAGCAACATGTCACTAGATCAGTCTCGCATGCATTTATTCCTGTACTACCTTACCAAAAAAATTACAGTCAGAGATCATTTTGTCACACTCACACTAAATTTTGGAACAGGATCCCACACTTCATCACAGCAATTCCCTCTTTAATGAATGAATGAAAATTGTGACCACTTATATTATGACTCAGTTTAATCATGGTCTTGAATTTTATCATTCCTTACAAATGCAATATCCAGAGTTGCCCAGAAGTTGCCCTGTTTGGCTTTCACAAATACTCCAAAACAGTTCAACACTCAGCCCATCAAACTATCTGTTTTCTATTTGTTTTCTTTAACTTGCTACCAGATGTCTAAAAATGTTCTGTCAGGAAATAAGTGGCAAAATACCGTTTGAAAGAAGAGTGTCGGTGTGCCTTCACTCCCACAGCGGAGCTGCCCAGAGGCCTTTGCCCACACTGTCGTACCCAAGGTGGAGGTGTTGAGGTAGGGAACAGATGAACTCCACACTCTTAGTTCTGGTGAATCTGACTCCAGCAGACACTGAACACACACAAATGCAAAAATAATGTCTTACCTCACAAAAGTGCATATGTTTGTATTTGGGAGTGTGCAGGGATGAGGAGGTCTCCATATTACCTTCCTTATAAACTCAGGCATAGTCCTGGAGAGATCTGTCTTGAAAAGTTCCTGAAATCACATTCATCAGTATAATGTAAGACCCAACAAGAGATTACAGACAAACAATTCAGGTTTAAACATCAGTGACCAGGGCCCTATTTCAGAAAGCAGGCTCAACAAACTCTGAGCTTAATTCCAGTCTCTGAGCTGATTGCGCCTGAGCTGGGAAACTGAGTTTTCAGTTCAAGAACAGCTGATCAGAATTAGCTCAATCAACTCTGAGTATATTCAGCCTGAGGGAAGGGCGAGATGTGCTTACAGTGAGCTCTGCTCCAGAGATGTTGAGTAGGAAACGACCATCTTGGTGGGCAGCAGCAATCATGGGGTTAAAGACCTGGTCTGGAGTTAAACACAAGTTAAAGCTGTACCACACAAGATTTTAACCACAAATTTACCTCTAAAGCAGAAAAAGAGAAGAGAGTCTTGGTAACTGAAAAGCTGACATACTCTGCTGGTAATGAGGTGCTGCTCTGAGGCCATTATACTGGAGGAACGTGAAGTTAGACATGTTTAAATCTATTCTTTAGGTTTCATGGAGACACACACTGGAGTCAAACCTGACTCCAGTGTGTCGACCGCTGCGACATCAGCCTTGTATATGGGGCGCCTGCTCTATCCACTAAGCCACCAACGCCCCGATGGTGATGTATTTTAGTTGTTTTTTTGCCAAAATAGGCAATTTTGTAATACACTATCCAGTTGTAGTGATGACAGTATTACATTTTGTTACCTTTTTCCTAACCTTAACCAATGTGCTTTGGTTGCCTAAAGTTAATACAGGAGCCTGGACATGATGTTATGGTTTTCAGAGGCCTGTACTACAAAGCCAGTTCAACTTACCCAGGATATCTTTTCGTTATCTGGTTTGACTAACCCTAACATTGTCCGTCTGGCCATCATCAGAACCATATATGAAGTAGGCTGCTTCATATCATATGAGATGAAACGGTAGCATGAGTGTCTGGGACTACGAGACAGTAAAATGTCAGTGGCATGGGATGTAAACCACAATCTGTAATCTTATAATGTAGAATCATTGAAAACACCATCCAAAAATTCCCCATCTGCCAAGACTTAAATTATATGCAGCTATGGGCCTATGTGACATTAGTATAGAGTATTTTTTGCTGTTTAGTTGGATGATGATAATACTACTCTGAATATGTCACATAAAACACTTTAATTAATGCCAGACAGTTTCTGCGGCTGAAGTTAAGGGTGGACAAGTAGTTCTGACCGAAACATGGCAATTATAATAGTGGGAGCCAATTAACAGTGTGTGGATTATTTTATTAATAAAATATTAACTGTTTTATCCTAGTTCTCATCACACAGGTGTCTCATTTTGAGCTGCAGTGATGGAATCAGAGTGTAAAAGAAGCAGCACTGTCACTGCGGACTAAAGTAAACTTGCATAACGTTCATTCATGTATACTTTTTTCTTCAGTGATCTGATTGGTCAGAGGTTGGGCTGTTGACAGGCTGTGATCTGATACCTTGCTGTTAACCTGCTCCGGCAAAAAGAGAACCAGCTTTGTAGTACTGAAAACCCAGTGTTTTGATACCTGACAGAAGGGTTTTCTCTGAACATAATCCAGGCAGCAATTACGTTGTCACAACAAAGTAAATGAGAAAGCAGTCTGGTATTGTCTATTAATACAGTAGACAAGGTTGTGGGACATGTTACATCATAGGATACTTCCTTCCATGTATCTTTTCTTTTTAATGTACCTGCACTTCCAAATTTCAAAAGACAACACAATGTCAACTGCTGACCTGAGAGCCAAAAGTACAGCATCCTGTTTTCAGTTAGCTGACTGGGGTGGAAAACAGACTCATTAATGACAGCAGAAGTGTTGTTGTAGTTGGTCAGTCCCTGGAAGAAAAAAAAGTAAAAGAAAAGAAAAGAAAAGAAAAGAAAGTCAAAGGATAAACAGAGAGACAACAAGATGAGCTTTCACACCTAAAATCAGAATCAGAAATATTTTATTAATCTCAAGGGGGGGAATATGATCCCTTACAGTCACTCTGATGTAAAGAATAGAGAATTATAAGTAAGAATAAGAGTATTAATTAGAAGTATGTAAATATAAAGTAATAAAATAAAATAGAAATAAAAATTGTGCATTATGCATCAATGTTTAACAGTAGTACTTAAGATATTAAGAATAAAAATATGTTCACTGTGTATTGTGCTATATTAATGAAAACGCAAACTAGAACTCTCTCTAGTTGTGTGTTAAGTGTGCAAGTTCTGCAAAACAAAGATGCTTATTCACAAGTACACTTCAATCTGAATTGTTAAACTCTGAGCACCAAGGCACTGACCAGCAGTTTGAATTCCATTGGATATGATGTATTACAGCCGAGTCTCCAATAAACTACTGTGTATTATCAAGGTTTGACAAAGTTGACATGTTCTCTTTTTACCCATGACCACAGCTTTGCTTTTTCTTAAAGTCAGTGCTCAGCTTCAACTGGCAATGTAAAAAACCACAAACCAAGCCAGAAATCTTGGTGTAGTCATGGACTCAGATCTGACCTTCAACAGCCACATTAAGACAATTACAAAGTCAGCCTACTATCATCTTAGGAACATATCAAGGATAAAATGACTGATGTCTCTGCAGGATCTGGATAAACCTGTCCATGCATTTATCTTAAATAGACTGGACTACTGTAACAGGGTCTATACATGTCTCCCTAAAAAAACAATCAGACAGCGGCAACTGATTCAGAACGCTGCTGCTCGAGTCCTTACTAAAAGCAAGAAAGTGGATCACATCATTCCAGTTCTGAGGTCTTCCTGTCTGTCAGAGAATCGACTTCAAAATACTGCTGCTGGTTTACAAAGCACTGAATGGTTTAGGGCCCAAATACTTTTCTGACCTCCTGCTACATTATGACTCACCCAGACCCCTCAGGTCTTCTGGGAAAGGTCTGCTTTGTGTCCCTAGAGTACAGACTAAACAGGGAGAAGCAGCCTTTAGTTTCTCACTTCTTTTAAATCAGTGTTGAAGACTTATCTGATTGCCACTGCCTTCTATTAAATCAAATATTTATTATTTTATTATTTATTATTTCTTATACTGCACTGTCATTTTTACGAATCAAACACTTGTATTGATTTTAACTGCCCTGTTACTTTTATTCTTGTAGTTTATACCCGTCTTAGTATATTTAAACCTTTTATTTTCTACTCTCTAGTTCTTAAATGAATTGTTTTTAAATGTGTTTAATAATGTGTTCCTTTTGCATCTTGTGTTGATGCTTTTGAAGTTTTATGCAGAGCACTTTGAATTGCTTTGTTGCTGAAATGTGCTATATAAATAAACTTGCCATGCCTTAAACAAGTAGCTTTATTTGCCTTATCTAATCTGATGATAGAGGAAACTTTTTAGGCAATGTAAGGCTATTGAAACATAATTTAAAGATGATATGGTTGTGTGTATTTGACTGTACATACAAGAGTTATTTACCTTATGGTATGATTCTATGTAGTTAGCAGTGATGACAGGAGCAGCAGTTACACCGATGTTCATACTGATGTCTCCATCACTGAGGAACTGCTCTGTTAACACACATGCCAGCATGTACACACACACACGCAGACTAATGTTTAGAGACAGTCTTGATTTTGTTTTTAAGATATATTGAATTAATGTTAACTTAAATTATGAATTAAAAAAAGGTCAAATATATGGATACACAGATAATCAAGGTGTTATTCAAAGATATAACCAGACTCCATGTCTCTCTCTCTCTCTCTCTCTCTCTCTCTCTCACACACACACACACACACACACACACACACACGTGCACACACCTGCTGTGTCTTGTATGAAGTCAGCCAGTATGTTTGCCACCTTGTTGATCTCCTTACAAATCTGCATTTGAGAACAGACTATAATCATTGCTACAGTCTTACCGTTCCATCAACTAAAGGAAGATATGAACACATTATCAATCTGTTGTGATTTAGTCAACATCACTGCCAGGCTGAAATGTTAGCTCTGTCTCTTGCCCTCACCTGCCCCTTTATGACCAGTTTGACAGTGAAGGTGATGAAGTCAGTGAAGAGCCTCTTCAGCCAGTTTGGTCTGACCGACAACAGCAAACACACAGCACAGTCAGACACTGATTACGTGAGGCAGATGCCTCCTGTATTTTGCTGTTGACAGCCAATCATGGTTCGGTTTTGTGACTTACTCTTTGTCGCCCTGCAGATGCAGACGGAGCTTGTGAAAATTCAGGTAACAGTCTGATGTGTCTGCTGCCACCTTCCCTCCTCCACAGTCTGACAGAGGAGACAGAAATTACAGAGAACAGATGTGAGGACATACAAAGTGAGATTAAAGACAGAAGGTTTTGTCTTTTTTTCTTTATCACGCAGTGCTTGAATTGGAACAAAAAGGTTTCAGTATACTGAACCAGCAGCTGCACTGCAGGTGCTGAATAATCATGACACCAAACTTCACCAGATCACCAAATCGTTGGTGATTTCAGTGAATTCCATTATCTTGCTACAGTATGGAGCTACAAGGAAGCTTACACATCTGCTAGGGTTCACCTGAAGCACCCACCTGGCATCGCAGTTGTGGGCTGAAGCCATGGCCACTGCTTTTTAAAACACTTTGCCTTTTGGGGAAGACTCTCGCAGGCAGGTGGTTGTCAGAGTAGTTACCGCATGGCAATGTGAAAGCAGCTTTACAGTAACGATACCATGGCAACATATCAGAAGTCACTTATTCTCACTTGATGAGGCAGCAGAGGTAATGCAAAAAATGACAATTCTACAACATAATTTTGGATAAGGTTAACAAAGGACATGTTTAAGCATCATGTACACACTAAAAAATATTGAAACACGTAGCAAAGATCAGACATGGAGGTACCAGTGAGTATACTGGCCCAATTCAAGCACTGTGTATAGGCCTACTACATGTACAAAATAAAGTACTTACAAAGTTTGGGGTTGATTCCAAGATCAATCTGAGATTCAATTTCAAAGTCAATTGAATGTGCAACGTTGACACTAGATGAAAAAGAAATACAAATGGCACATAAATACACATTATTGGTACAAAGGAAGTGATGCCACAGCTGAAAGAGCAACATCCAGAAAGCCAGGTTTAATTAACAGAAATCCACAGAGAGGAATTACAGTGTTGCTCACGCTGTTTGATGGGGGGGGGATGCCTTTTTGCCAACAAACAGTGACAAAAAATGAGCAGAGAGGAAAATAAAGGATGATTTAGTGTTCTGGAATCATAGAGTTAAAAAGGTAAGTATTGGTTTTGGAATTATTTTGATTTATCTGTGTATTTTTTCCTGTAAAATCCTGTAAAACCCATAACTCATGTGCTGGTTACCTAAATTGACACTCAGTCATCAATATTGTGTGCACCCTTGGTGTAGAGTGCACCCTATATTTTTTGATTATTTTTGTGTTGTTTTTCTCAGGCAAGGCAATATGTTTTTTGTGTATGATTTTTTGCGAGTGCTGAGTAATATACATGGATTGTTGCTGATCACAGACACTCAGACTCACAGCCAGCTGCCGTATCCATACTGGATGCTCCCTCTGAAGACTGCGGACACATTGCTTATTTCCAAGGCAATGCCTTCACCTGGATGTAGTTCAAATGCACTCCGACCAATCGACAGGTTGTGAATCTCCAAACTGGGTGGGTCAATGGAGAAACATTACATGATATCATGACCATTCTATGTATCCATCTCTGTATGGTTGTGTGTGTTCACTTACTTGTCCAGGCCATATGTGACTCTGCCTATATAGAGCAGAGATTTCTCTCCCTTCACACTTGGGTATCTGGCATGTTGGAATGCTGCCTCAATCACTTTAGTGGTTTTCTCATTCACTGGCAGCAGCACACAAACACATATGGTCAGAGAGTGGGGAAGTGGGGAAGCACACATCTAAGGAGCTGGGTATTCATTGGAACTTATACATACAAATAAGAAACCAAAATGAAATAAAGGAAACAAGATTACAGACTAAATTATAGCTGCTGCACAGCAGTGGTTGGGGCCGGGCAATTTTAGGCAAAATTAGACAATTCTGAGCAACACACACACTAAAACAAAGCATATCACAACATAGAAGTTAAATCATATAATTATGGCATGCCCTTCAAATTGTGGATGGGTGGCTGAAGTGATCAGACTCATAATATACAAAGGAAAGAAAAAACTCAAGAACAAGAAAGTAAGAATAACATTAACTGCTAGCAATTATGAACAAACTGGCCTGATCTAGCTTAAAGCTAAACATTATCCATGGTGACAAAGATGAAAACATTTTTTAAAATGTAAAAGTAGCTATTGGATAGACTCTGCATATTGACTGATAGCTAAGCCAAATAAACAGGGAAAAGAGACAAGGGATAACAGGGAAAAGTATTGATAAAGAGTATTTGTTTCTCCGCAAAACTGCCTGGATCATAATTATTTTAACCTTAGTAGTCTCTAATCCACATAGCATGATGCCTGAACATAGGACTTTCACATTAGAATGTCCGTTCTGCCTTAGCTGAGGCTTGAACTCACAACTTCTGAGACTGAGGACCGTCTTCTATCTCACTGAACTAACTGGCAAGTGACAGTTCATGTGTGGCTTCACAAATTGACTAGGCCAAGCATCAGGGTGCCAGACAGTAGCCATCCATGCCATGGAAAAGCAAATTTCAAAGTGAAAGTTCCAAAGCTGTAGCACATATGGTTGATTTGTTATGAATTTTCAAAGTTTTGAAATTTAGAGGCTTGCTGTAGCGCCACCATCAGGACTATTGTCTTGTGTTTCCAGTTGAGGACATCTGGCATGGGACTGGACCTTTACGAAAAGTTTGGGTAGATTTCTCATATGGAAATGTTGCAGGAGCTGAGGCTTGAACTCACAATCTTCAACACCAAGAACCATTCTCTATCTCACTGAGCTAATTGGCAAATGGGAATGTCACATGTAGCTTCACAAATTGACTAAGCCAGTCACCTGTGTGCAAGACAGCAGCTGTTAGTGTGTAAAGGCAGATTTCAAACAGCTGTCAAAAATTCAGTTATTAAGACAAAAATCCGAAAATACACAAATTGCATCTAGACAGCATGGAGATGTTGGTAATTTGTTTGTAACAATGATTTATTGGCTCTGTAAGTGAAAAACTGATGTTTAAAAATGCCATTTTTGCATTGACTCCAATTGTTCGCATGAGAGCGAAATTCAAAATGCTGTAAAAGATTCAATTTTTGAGATAAAATTCTGATATTTTCCAAACATCATCTACCATGACTCCAAAATTTTGTCATTTTTTTAATGAACATTGAAAATGTATTTAGCAAGAATTTGCAAGTATATGTTTACAGTACCATTTACAGTCAAACATTTTGATGCACTGTAGGCTCAATTTTCGATAAATCAAAAATCTGTGTGGATAGTTTGTGTAGGACAGTCTGAAGATGCTCTGTAGCAAGTTTGGTGTCAGTTGAGCAAAAATTGTGGGAGGAGATAGGTTTAAGAAATTTTACAGTTTTTGAAAAAAACAGAGTGATGAACTTCATAATTTGCAATAGGTTTAAATGTACAAAAGTTTCTTCAGTATTGGGGCTACATTTTGGCGAAAATTGCAAATCTGTAGCACATATGGTTGATTTGTTGTGAATTTTCAAAATTTTGAACTTTAGAGGCTTGCTGTAGCGCCACCATCAGGACTATTGGCCTGTTTTTGCAGCTGAGGCAATCTGGCATGGGACTGGACCTTTGTGCAAAGTTTGGTGATTTTTCGCGCATGGGAAGTAGGATTTCCTCGGAAGAAGAAGAAGAAGAACATGCAGCAAAACAATATAGGGTCCGGGCAGCTTAGGCTTAAATGTGCAAGCAGCAATGAACGGGCCTTTGCACCTTTGCTCATAACAGGGGTACTGGCAGGACTCCAGCTGATGCAGCTTTTTGTACCACTTCCTGTGTCCATTATGTGGTGTGAGAGAACACACTATTTATATGTCATTTTGCAGTACATCAATTGTAGACCACATCATGTAAATTTCATGTTAATCAAAATATAATTGTCTGACAGGGTTGAATTCCTGTTACCAGCAGGTGGTACAATCACCACGACACCTAATTTGTATGTTGATGGCTTCAGGCCTGGAGCCTTATAAAACAAGTGAAATTTCAGGCAGATTGGACAAGGTTCATGGAAGTTACAACAACCTCCTGTTTCATGGTGAATAAGGTGTCACCATGGCAATGTCCTTCAATGTAAACTCATAATCTTCACAACTAAGCATCATCAAGGCCTTGTGACTATGCTGACCAAATTTGGGATGGATCTGATCACCCTGGGGGAGAAGCATATCAAAGTATAAAACATGTAATTTCCTGTTGTCAGTAGATGGCGCTATAAATATAACTAATTATTGGCATTGGCATGAGTTCAGGGCAGGACCACTTCCTGTTTTATGGCAAAACATGGAAGTTTGACACACGATTTGACAAAAACTCAAGCTTTTAGTAGCTGTTGATGTTGAAGGTCTTTAGATGGTACAGACAAAATTTGAAGTTGTTTGCATGTAATCTCTAGGAGGCGATAAAATATGACCCCTGGAAAATGTCATTTCAATGGCTCACTTCTTGTTGGGTTTAGGGTATAGCTCTTAGAGACTCTTTTGTAAGTCTGGGCATGTTTCATATTATGTCCACCAAATTTCATTCATCTATGAGAAAATTTGAAGGTGGGGCCTTGAACTTTGAAAACTGTTAAGTAATGCAATTTTCCATACCCAAGCAGTAGACCCATATAAGATTGCAATTTTCACAAGTTCTAACACATGTGCCAAGTTTCAGGACTTTTTGAGTATCCCAAGCACCCCAAAATGTGTTTAAATGTTAAAAATAAAATCATAATAATAATTTCTTCAATTACAATAGGGCCTTACACTGGTGTAAAACCCATCATTGAATCCACAGCAAATTTGGTGGCATAACAAAAGGATGAGTGCTTAATTTGATTAAAAAGATGAAGGAAGCAAATATTTGAAGGTAAATACTAAAGAAGGGTCAAAATTCTACTCACACACAACAGCTGCAGGGTAGGTGAGGCGACATACAGCCCCGGTAAATCTGTAGGCTGAAGCAGGGTCCTGTAGACAGCCATGGGACGTCCAAAACACAGACAGGAACAGCAGCAGGGGCAGCAGCAGTGGGAATACATGACATGGCATTGTGCACGTGGATACTTCCCCTCTGTGACAGTCGGTTGAGGTTTTTAACCCTGTGCACTGTTGGCAGTTCGATATGTTTGTTTGTTTTCCCGAGCAGTATCTTACCCAATCCCACTTCACCTCCAAAGGCTTGACATTTTTTTTCAAATTCCTTTCATACTCTGACTCTCATGTGCTATGGCAGCTCTGCTCTCATTATGATTTTCAAAGTGTTCCTTGGTTTTTGTTGAGAGAATTGTACAGCCTACTAACCTTGTTCTTTCCACTGGCGGGGAGGGGTCTATGTATTGCAACTATCTTGCGGACCTTATCCTTCATCCAATCAGAGACAGACACCTTGTGTGATTTACTCTTGATGGACAAACAGTGACGCAGGTTTGTCTTTTTCACAGGGTTCCCTCAAGGTAAACTGATCAAAGTACAACTCTTTCTATGATGTGAGTTCTACAAAACCTCAGGTAGTTACACAAACTCTAAAACTTTTAACAGATCAAATACTGACTACAGACATGTGATGTCAAAACAAGGACATATCATATATATACTTTTTAATATTTGGTTTGCATTAAAGGGACATTGTGTAACATTTTCAGTTGTTTATTGGCAAAAATTGATGTCTGCATTCATAAATATGTCATCACTGGTGTACTATTACCTCCACCAATAATCTGACTTATTCTCGTAAAAGGAGAATTTAGGATTTGTTTGTACATTGTGCGGGTAAATCGTCTGTGGGGTTCCATTACATTTCACCATCTTGAGAATACACCCGCCAGCAAAAGACATACAGCACCACCTTAGGCGTTTTCGTTGAGAGCCAGGCCAGCACTGCGTGACTGAGGAGCTGAAGGAGAGGAGCAAGAGGCGCTTCGCTACTACCCTGGCAAATTTGAAACAAAGTCCCACTCTTTGAGCATAATGCAGGATCATACATATGCAGCATCATGGGAGACGGAATCCTTGTCGCCAAGAAAGCGCAAAAGGGAATAGAAAAGGCAGCATGACCGGCGAATTAAAAAAACGAAGGCCCACATCAGGGTAGCCTTTCCCAGGTAGAGAGAGCTGCTGAGGGAGAACGGTAATGCAATCACAGGCCAGCGCCGCTGTTGGCTGTTGGCTGAGGCTGTTAGCGACTGGCCGCTAACAGCCTCATCCCTCTCCTCGCATCACTGCGCCGCTGTGTTTGAATGCAATATATGATTTCAACGTTAGATGGGAGAAATTCCTACACACTGTGGCTTTAAGAAAATTAATACATTATAAAAATAGCAAGTGGAGGACAGGGAGATACAACGTCACTGAATAGATGCTGTTGTAGGGCAATAGTTAGTGCAGCATCACAAAGATGCCTTTAATAACCAGAAACACTAAATCCTCACAGTAAAAACTCTTCATGCCGGACATAAACGTGTGAGTGATGAATCCAAGTCTGTTCTCTTCACATCTAAACTTATTCTACTTTCCCTGTTCTCAACAAGAGTAAAACACAGATACCCTCAGGTCCAGCCTTCACTGAACAAAGGCTCTTTCAACCAGTGCTGGCTCACAGGGAAACTAGATACATGTACAGATGCTGACTCCGTAATGTGAACTCTTCATTCCCATAGATTCTATTGAGTCTTTCTGTTGTCCTTCAAACCTGCAAGTTGAAAGAGTTTGATTTGGCCTGAACTAATAAAACTGGGAGGAAAAAAACTGAACATCTCTTCCACTTTAAAAACAGGTATATTTCTTACAAATGAATTAACTATTTTTTCTATTGTACATTTATATGCCTCCCTGGTAGCAATAGCTGTGGTCAGAAGCGTTATTTTTTTTGGTTTGCGTGTCCGTCCGCCCCATTCTTTGTGAACATGGTATCTCAAAAACGCCTTGAGGGAATTTCTTTGAATTTGGCACAATGTCCAAATTCCCTAACGGTTTTATATCAATACTTCAAGAACACTGAAAAAAAATTATATTTGAATTTGGCACAAACATCCACTGAAAGTCAAGGATGATTTTTGTGGTCAAAGGTCAAGGTCACCATGATGTTGTATCCCTCTCATTCTTGTGAACGCAATATCTTAAAAACACTGAGAGGGAATTTCTTAAAATTTAGCACAAATGTCCACTATGAGTCAATGATGAACTGATTAGAATTTGATGGTCAAAGGTTAAAGGTCAAGGTCACTGTGACCTTGTCTGTCACAGTCTTGTGAACGCAGTATCTCAAGAACACCTTGAGAGGATTTCTTCTAATTTGGCACAAACTTGCATTTGTACTCAAGGATGAACTGATTACAATTTGGTGGTCAGAGGTCAAAGGTCACTGTGATCTTGTGTCCATCTCATTCTTGTGAACGTGATAATTCAAGAAGGCCTTGAAGGAATTTCCTCAATTTTGGCAAAAACGTTCACTTGAGCTCAAGAATGAACTGATTAGAATTTGGTAGTCATAGGTCCTCACAAAGTCTTTTTGGCCATAACTCAAGTACTGATAAATTGATTATGACAAAACTTCACACAAATATCTAATAGAATAAAATAATGAAGTGATGACATTTTTAACCAAAAGGTCAAAAGTCAACTTCACTGGGACATCTTAAAATTCTGCAAAACACTTTTTTGGCCATTACTCAACATCATATTTCAAAAACAGAATTGGAAATATTTGGTCAGATACTGAATTGGTGACACTAATCTTGGGTGTCCACCTTGAAACTGTGTTGATTGTACAAATCTTCTGTGCTGCCAGGGGGGAAGATGTGTGTGAAGTGTCCATGTTTTCACAGACATGGATGTAAACTGTACCTGCAACTTCATGGGTTTGCGGTGGCATACAACCGGTCTGTTTTTATATCACGTGAATTGACTTCTGCATTGTGTTTATTGTTATGCACCAAATCACCAAGACAAATGTATTGTATGTGCAAACCTACTTGGTAATAAAACTGTTTCTAATTGTGATTCTGAGGTACAGTAGGACACAAAGACAGACTAAGATAATAACAAAGGGGATAACTGATTGGGATAAGGGCTCTAAGGTTTCTGTGTGTGTGTGTGTGTGTGTGTGTGTGTGTGTGTGTGTATGTGTGTGTCTGTGTCTGTGTATGTCTTTGTGTGTGTGTGTGTCTGTGTGTGTGGTACATATCAAAACATGACAAAGCAGCAATGTCTCCGTAAAAAAACCCAACTGCTTTTAATGCCGCTATACTCGCTGGAAAAACAGTGACAGGTTGCTGCCAAACACCCATATTTGTTGCCTAAAAAGCCACTGGAAACATAGCAGTGACTCACTAAATCACAACAGGTTTTGTTGTTTGTTGGTCTCAAACAGTGGTCTGCAGCTTGGCAGGTGTCTGGCCTAGCTGTCACTCCATTCACCATCCCCTCCACTGCCCAATGACATAATCCTCCCTTTAGAAATGTTGACACAATACATATGAAACGTACAAATGTAATGTATCAGTAGTTTGCTGAAAGTATAATGCCAACATTTCCCTCTGTTGACTGAGCTGCTACACAGATATTAAACCAGTCCAACTAAGGTACAGACATCAGTGGCCTGAACCAAAACATCATGGCCCCCATACAATTCGAAAGTTGATGAAGTAGTGTCAAAAGTACCAGTTTCAGTGCATGTTTATTGTTCTCACATGGTGCTCAATTCTAAATAAAGTTATGTTTACAAGGAAACCCTGTGGCCAAGTAGTGTTATGCCAGTACAAGAGTAATGTTTGTTCTATGGGTCTCTGGTCATTTAACGAAGCTGCCATGTATAGCCCACTGTGTTTACTGTAGTTAATGGCAACTTGAAAAGGACAGGTGTTTGTCCTTGACTGTCCATAAAAAGTCAGTCTGGATAATAGACTGTATAAATGATGGATGTAGCTGCCACGATGTCAACCACTGGTTTGTGGACTGCTGTCTTGAATTCTCGAGTTTGGCATTTCACCCATCTTGGTTTTTGGAGGCAGAAGTGACCATATTTGGACGAAAGGGTGAAGCTGTGGAGGAGTGAGGGGTGGATCTGACTCACAGACTGTGCACCTCTCCCCTTAAATGTGCGTAACCTTTGGCCTCAATAAAATGTAAATGGCTGAGTTATAAAAAAAAAAATCCACCTCCCGTACAGTTGTCATGAATGTTGAAATTAGCTACAGAGACCAAACTGTTTTTCGTACCAGGCTGTAAACATATTTATTTCTGCTGTTAATTTGGGCATTTTAACATGGGGGTCTGTGGGGATTGACTCCATTTTGGATCCAGCCTCAAGTGGCCATTTGATGAACTGCAGTTTTGGACACTTCTGTATTGGCTTGATTTTTCAGCCTCAGCAGCTGCTGCTTGGTCCCAACATCCATTAGTTTGAGACTGAGCAAGCTCTAAAGCTCCGGTGGGTACTTTTATAAATTCTAATAATAATAACGTAATAATAATAATAATAATAATAATAATAATAATAATAATAATTTTGTCATATTTGCTGAGGCTGTCACTATATCCAGTAGTATATGAGGCATATAATCTGTGACAAAATCATGCCTCTCTGTCTCCTCCTAATTTTCCTAATGAAATTTGCAAGAATCTGAACAAAAACAACCAATCGGAACAAGGAGGACTGTGGTCTCACACAGTCAAGCTCAATATCTTCAGCAAACGGCTTCAGGAGGAGTTTTGCAAACATGATGGCTGAGAAACAACCACCAGCAATGAAAAAACTGCACATCCCTCCTTTGCCAACATCAGCAAACATGGCAAAGAAAAGCAAACAGAGAAAGACCAACCTGTTTGTCCTCTTCTGAGAAAGTGAAAGCCAGCTTTTAGTCATCAGTCTTCTTCTGTTTACTCGTCTCAACCTTGTACGCTGCTGTTTGCTTAAGCTTATTTTACACAGAGATCACGCTATAGAGCCGCTACAAAGTCCCTTCTTTATACCTCCTTTACATTTTTACACTGAACCAAAAAACAGCAGCATCATACCGCTCCTGTATGTGATTTTAGATAGCATGCTGGCATTGTGGCAGCAAACGTGGTGTGATGTGTAACATGTAACACAACAGCATGAATCTGTAGTGTAATATATAAGATACCCGTTGGCAGCACTTTATAAACAATAACAATGGCATAACATGGCAGTTACAATCATTTACTGTCTCTGTTATATGGCGGCTGATCTCATCTTCTGCTCAGAGGGTAAGGAGCTCTTGGACCTCATTGTTTTCCCAATTTGAGGACATTTTTGGCTGCTGCTCTTCAGCTACTTTTTAAATCTGCAGGTAGTGGACCACACACATGGCACATCATCAGGAGTCACACCTGTTCCATCCACGGCTCCATCATCCTGGCTGTCTTTTTTACACAGACATTAGTTCGGCATTGTTACTACCTCTGCTGCTGGCTTTAAGGTGAGGCAACTCTTTCACCCTATTCTGCAATTGTACCTGCCTTGAACAGGCAGTGTAAAAGGGGGCTTGAGTGAGAGCATGTGAGGGGAAGGGGGCTGCGCAGAATGTGCCAGAGAAGTGATTGACTGGTTGAGACAAGAGGATAAAAACTCCTGGCTCTGATTGGTTGTTTGGGTTCAGGCACAGTGGACTCTCTGGAAATTCCATTAGGAGCAGGTGAAGCCAGAGGAACCTGGCTTTTCCCCCCAGATTGTCTGTCTCATGTCCTCCTGTCAGGATATGGTGATCGTTTCAGCAAATACCATAATAAAAACTTTTTTGTAGAAGTTACCCATTGTGGCCACCTTGTATACATTTGGATAACAAATTTTGTCTTCAATGTTTGTTTGAGGATGTGTGTTGCTGAGGCCAGCATATTTGGGGTCAAAGTTCAATTTAATTGGACTTTGCAGAAAATTGCAACAGTGTTTGCCACCATGTCTCATGTAGCTACCTAAAGGTGAACACAAACCAGCACCGCCCCGTGTGGAGTGTCATTTGATGCACGTCAAATGCTGCCCCTAGCACACACTGCATGCGTTGTGCTGCAACTCTTAACAGATGACCATGCAAAGTTATCACTACTTTTACTGAAAGACCTGTATTTTCTCCACCTATTCATTAGTTTAAAATCTTGTGGGGACAATGCGTCTCTCCTCATCCATCCTTCGTTACAGACGAGACACAGCAACAGCTACACAGTTCTCTTTGCATCCATAGTGAGGAGAGGAGTTGAGCTGCCAGAGGAGCAGAGAAAAAGAGCTGCCACAGGAACTGGTATGTACAAGCAGAGAGCGAGTGAGGGAAAAATGCATTTAACTGTGGGGAAGGCGAAGCTGGAGACAGGACAGTGGTGTGAAGTGCCACAGGGCGGTGCATCCAGGAGTGCCAATGTTCTTCTGGCCACTGCTGGTGTGGGGTTGTACATAGAAAATAATAGGGGTGCATTTTTTTAGGCGCAGCATTCGCTGTGTGTTCTGGCCTTAAGAGAGTGCAGTCCCTTACTCCATTGGAAATACATGTGATGGGATAATGCCCTTTTAAACACCAGCAATGAAATTTTGTTCAGTAACACTGCGCTCTGAGAATGCAGGGTTACTTGTGGTCCCTAAAGTCTCCAAAAGTAGATCATGAGCCAGACCCTCCAGCTATCAGGCTCCTCTCCTGTGGAATCATCTTCCTGTTACAGTCCGGGAGGCAGACACCGTCTCCACATTTAAGACTAGACTTAAGACTTTCCTCTTTGATAAAGCTTATAGTTAGGGCTGGCTCAGGCTTGCCCTGTACCAGCCCCTAGTTAGGCTGACTTAGGCCTAGTCTGCTGGAGGACGCCCCTACAATACACCGGGCACCTTCTCTCCTTCTCTGTCTCTCTCTCTCTCTCTCTCGTATCCTATTACTGCATCTTGCTAACTCGGCCATTCTGGATGTCACTAACTCGGCTTCTTCTCCGGAGCCTTTGTGCTCCACTGTCTCTCAGATTAACTCATATCGCAGCGGTGCCTGGATAGTGTGACGTGTGTGGTTGTGCTGCTGCCGTGGTCCTGCCAGATGCCTCCTGCTGCTGCTGCCATCATTAGTAATTACTGTGCGTTCACACCAAATGCGATGGACACGATGTCATCGCCCGTAATGCGAGTATCGCGTCGCTTGATCACAAATGCCACCTTTTTGATCATCGCTTCATCGCTTCAATCGCGATGACGCAACCCTCCTCCCGCAATTTTCTTCACCTCCCGCTATTTTCTCGTCAACCATGGCTGAGTTAACTACCGTAGCTGCTCTTTATCTGTTGTGGACATCTGATTTGGATCGGAGACCCAAATGCCGCCGTGTCTGGGTTCACAATATCCTCCAGAAACGCACACAGCTGGGTGAATATCATCATCTCCTGCAAGAGCTGCGTCTGGATGACGGTCGTTTCCAGCGGTACTTCAGGCTGACGCTGGCCCAGTTTGAGGACCTGTTGGCCCATATCAGTGCGAGGATCTCCCGCCTGGACACCAACTACAGGCGCTCCATCCCAGCTGCGGAGCGCCTGTCCATCTGTCTCCAGTTAGTTGCTTATAATTTCTTTATGAAAATGAACGAAATACATAGAATAAATTCAATGTAGCAGGTGCTAAGTGTTTCTAATTAAAAAATGGTTGGATATCAACGCTGATTGGATGTTGTGGCACAGCGTCACGCGATGTCACTTGAAAAGTTCAAATTTTTCAACTTCAAGCGACACACGTGATGAGGTGATGGACGCGTCATCGCTTCATCGCGTCGCTCTTATCGCCTGAAACGCGTCGCTCAAAGCGACATTGCGTGTCATCGCGTCATTTACATTGATTTTGAATGGAAACTTGTGGCGTTCATCGCATCCATCGCGTTTGGGGTGAACGCACAGTTAGTCATATTTCTACTGTTATTATACACATATGATTATTGTCACACATGTATACTGCCAGATATTAATATATACTTTCAACATATTGTACCACAGTAGCCAGAACTATAACTATAATATTATTACTTTCATTAATGTTGTTGTAAGCTACTGTTATTACCGTCTGTCCTGCATCTCTCTCTCTCTCTCTCTCTCTCTGTCTCTCTCTCTCTCTCTTTCTGTCTCATTGTGTCATACGGATTACTGTTAATTTATTATGCTGATCTGTTCTGTACGACATCTATTGCACGTCTGTCCGTCCTGGAAGAGGGATCCTTCCTCAGTTGCTCTTCCTGAGGTTTCTACCGTTTTTTCCCCGTTAAAGGGTTTTTTTTGGGGGGGGAGTTTTTCCTTATCCGCTGCGAGGGTCCTAAGGACAGAGGGATGTTGTATGCTGTAAAGCCCTGTGAGGCAAATTGTGATTTGTGATATTGGGCTTTATAAATAAAATTAATTGATTGATTGATTGACTTTCATGGTCCCCAGAGGATGAATCCCTCTGACTTTGGTGATCCCCTGACTTTTCATTGAGCAACACCAGCAGATGAAAGTTTTCACTCATCCAGTGAAATATCTCACTACGCATTGTTGGATTGGCCCAGAAGTTTTATAGATATTCATGGTCCCCAGAGGATGTATCCTATTAACTTCAATGATCCCTTTAGTGATTTTTGGCAACTCAGGGGCATGGTTTTGGAAGAAATGTCTCAACAACTATTGGATGCATTGCCATGACATTTGGCACAGTCATTCTTATCTCTGGGCCTACTTCATTTGATACCCATAATGCGAATGGAGTAACATATAGTATAGCCATATTTTTTAATATTTTGGTGGCATCTTAGCTCACTGAACTGCCAACTCAATCACATACACCACGCTTGGCTTCACCACACCAAAGACTTAATGACTTGTAGCTGCTGTGGGAGTGTGACCTTGGAGACTGTTGAGAGAGCCCACCCTGCCACACACAAACAGTAATAGCGCTAACTATGAGCATCACACGACTTATGCTTCCTAACGGTTATCACTGGGTTTAACAAGAGTTGATCTGTGTTGGATGTTAGCACTCCTGTTGTGTTAACTTGTGCTAAGCAGGGAGACTCACGAGGAGGAGAGCGGCTCCAGAGATGCTGGCAACATTAAGTTAGCTGATCCAGCAGAGAGTCCGGATGTCCTGTTTCAATACTACTTGGTACTGGATTATTTTGGTTGACACCATAAAGGTATCTAGTACTGATACCCAGTCCCATTCATCCATCATCAGGTCAGACTTTCAATTTGGTCAATGACCACATACCTGCAAACCTTACATTTAGTGCTAATTAAGTTGCTAAAATGTTAACTTGCCAACATGCTAAACTTATATGATAATGGTAAACATTACACCTGCTACTGATGCAAACATCTGCATGTTAGCATGCTGACATTAGCATATAGCTCAAAGCACTGCTGTGCCTAAATACAGCCTCACAGAGTCACTAGCAAGGCTGTAGACTTTTAGTCTTGTCAAAATGTATCTCATCCTACAGTTAGACTTTGACAGTTGCAGTGAAAACATGCAGGTCAATGGCCAATGCAGCCAAACATATGCATGTATGCATGTGTCTTCAGCAAACTCTGCTTGTATTTACACTGGGGTCGGGACAACTATAGAATGTAGGCTATTCAAGGTCATAATATTATCATGATTTAGTACACCTGTGCCCATTTGTAACATGACCTTCAGTGACTTAATGCATTTAAACACAGGGTCAACAAACCCAAGTAGCACTCTTCACAGTGAAATCATATCTGTAACAAATCAACACAGTAAGGAACTATTATTGTTAAGAACATTTATTGCATCCATTATTGCAAGTCTCCCTCAACACACTTCTTTCTTCAACATCCATTAATAAGCTGCTGTTACAGTGAGACAAACAAAAATAAAAACAAAATCCTAAATAATGGCTTAACATTAAAATGACCAGTTATACATGGTGACTGAAGGTCACAAACTTCTGTCATTTGAGATTGTCCCAAATGGAATCAGAGTGCTAACTAGCAGGGGCTAATGCAGTAAACAAAATTAAATGGATTACAAGAAAAAGAAAAAATACTTTTCATCTCTTTACTTAAAGGTGTAATACACCCCCCTTCACAGTGACATTGTTACGAGGAGATTAAAACCCATTTATTCTTCTTATTATTCAATAAAACATGCACTGATTACAAGAAGTTAATAAACACAAATCAACAGATTGGATTTTTCATATACACTCACTGTAACAGCATAACAACATAATTGATGACTTGAGTAAGCTGACCAGTAACTGCATTAACAGTCATTTTTGTGTATGCATCTGATCTGTTACAGTGAAGGTTTCTCAATCAATATGATGAGATTAAAATGCTTAAAAATGGACAGGAGGAATGATGATGAGCTTCATTATAGCACATTTGGAATGTTAACTTAATGAAAGTAAGACATGTGACAACAAAATAAGAAAAGAAGCCAGTCCCTGGGTGAGAAGAGAACACTCTGCAGAGGGTCTATAAGCCAGCTGAGATGTAAACTTGCCATTCTCAAGATATATTCTAGCATTAGAAACAACTATTTACCACTGATTTGGCTTTCAACCTGGTTTGTTTAAATGGGATTTTAGACTTTACCTGAAATCAAAAAACCAACAACAAAACATAACTGTGAGCCCTCTAGGCATTATATTTATATTAAAAATCTTTTGATGAAGAATAATGAAGCATAACCCCTCTAAATGTAAAGAAGCCTGCATAAGGTACACGTTATAAAGTGCTTTGTGAACATAATATTTACAAAACTTGATTTTTATTTTTTTTTTTTTTTTTTACTATGGCAGCGTCACTATTTACAGAAAATGTACCCAGTGATTTGGCAAAAGAGACGCAGTCTAGTTTGCATTTGGTCACAATCACTATCATCCAACACTTATTATAGTTACAGGAAAATCCACCCAAAACAGAACTGGTAAAGCTGTACAATGTTGTTTTTAATTTTCTTAATCATGACTTTTGTTCATGATTTGGATTTTGTTCCCCTAATCCAGTTTTGTTTGTGAACTGAAGTTCCAGTCACTGTCAGTTTTTGGTGGCATTAGGGTTGTTCTTTTTTTTTTTTTTCCAACTAAGGCTGCAGAAAATGTACTCAGTGATTTGGTGAAAAGTTTAAGTTTCATTTGCATCTGGTCACAATCACCACAATCCAATGCTCAATAATAGGAAAATCACCCAAAAAAACGAACTGGTGAAGAAATCTGCACTATGTTATTTTGAATTTTGTTAATCATGACTTTTGTTCATGATTTGGATTTTGTTCTTCTTGTCCAGTTTTGTTTGTGAACTGAAGCTGTGGTTACTGTCAGTTTTTGCTAACATAAAGGCAGTTAATGTTCAGTACAGTGACTGTATGGAAGCAAATACATGCCAAAATAATGTGAATCTCATCTTGTATTTTGTCTGAATTTTACTGATACATCAGAGCAACTTAATTCTTGACTTTAATAATCCAAAATTAGCCGATTTTTTTAAAGTTGTATATAGTTGAGTATTGTGCTTATTTTGAGAGACAACGCATAATACATCGTCAAAGTCTCACGCCCATGCCGCCCATGATCCCATCCTGCCGGCTGTCCAGGCAAGCCATAATAATTTCCACTTTGAAGAAGCAGTGTAAAAGGGGGCTATACTGTAAGTTCAGATAGATTGGTGTCAAAATCAATTTAGCTCAGATGCTTTCATTGTCAAAAGCAAAGCTGTAAAACAAGTAAAAACAGCATCTGTCCTACTTTTACAGCTGTCCTCAAATCCAGAGTCCATGCATGGACTGACCAAAATAAACCTGTTCTGTAAGAGAGCGATAACATACAGTACCGAGTTCTGTTTCTGTGTGGATTTTCACTTCCCATCAAACATGTCTCATATAATCATCCTCATAAGTGTGAGAGTATTGATCTGGATCATATTCATTATGAAAACTCAGATAAGCTGATTTTGAATCCTTGAGGATTAGAAAGCCCACGTACATAACTCCCATCACTGTAAATAACTTTGGCACAAAGTCCAACAGTGTCAGATAAAACATTTATTTTTTACCCTCAGCTGCCACCTACTGTTGTTCATGGATAAGTGAACCGTCCAGGTGGCAATGCTCGTCTTTGAGGGCCTTGTCACACTGAAAAAATTAAGGTTGGGGTAAAAACCCACAATCAGTATATAGCAGATGTTTGGTCAGATGAAGGTCTGGGATCCCATTGAACGATGCATTATTGTTACTATTGTGGTCTGATGTTTTTTAGTCTTTCATGTCCTTTCTTTTCAGTCCACATTTTTGGAAATTCAAGGGTCTGGAATTGCTTTATTTTGCTGGTGTATTTAACTTTGTGTTTCACACTCAGAAGAAAAAACTATTTTACACAGGAGCTCTTCGAACTACTGTTAATAGGGAAGTATCAGTTATTGTTGATATGTACATGTACAATGCCCTTATTTTCATTTATTGAGCTGACAGACATCCTTCTTTTCTTTCCATCTCAGATGATCTTTGTTCCTCACTGAAAACTTAAAGTCTGCTGTCTCTCTCAGTCGTCTGTGGTCAGTTGGCCACACCCTGAGGAGCCTCAGGTATGAGGGAGGAGAAGAAAGTTTTGAAGAAAACCCACGCTGTCCATATGACTGACACCCTGTGGGGAGGCACTAAAACTGCTGTCATTGATCCATCGTCAGCAGGTTCCTCCCCCTGTCTGTCAGCAAGCTCATCTGCCTGAAAAAAAAAAAAAAAAGTAATTATACAAATGATTATTTATGGCAGTCGATTCTTACAGTGTTTTATTGCTAAAGGATATACTTCAATCCATAGATCAACCTATAGTTGTTTATTGGGTCTACTTTAATTAGATCAGTGAATTCCATTAGATTCCACAGTGGAATTCTGTTACATTTAAACATTCATGCGTACATGCAGGTTAGAGACCAGGGGTCTCATTTTGAAAACAGAGCATAGGATCCATACTAAAAATGTATGTGACAAAAGCCAAGTATTGTGTGCACCAAAACAATATTTAACACAATGAGGCTTCCACCTCACCATCTGCATAGTCAATTTCCAGTCTCCAAAATGTTTGTAAGCATGGATAAACGTTTTCCATCAAGCCTATTTTTATAGATCTCAACTTTTCCATAGGAAGCGGCGTACGCCTCTTTCAGGCATTGTTGTGTGTGTAGGCAATGTTTATAAATGAGACCCCAGACCTGAAACCAGATTGTCATGTCATCAGAGCACAGGTCTTGAACCACTAAGATATGAAGATGTATAACAGAGTATATAAAACTTCAGTTAATTGGAGATGAATCAGAGGGACACATCTAAGATGTTTTCTTACTGGATTTGGGTTCCCATTCTCGTTCTGCTGGACCTCAGGGGGCTGCAGGTGGTTGGGTCCTTGGACCTGCACTCGCCTTCTGAAGGGAAACCAACCAACAGTGTGTCTGTAGAGGAGAAAACAGCAGAGAAAATACATTTATATGAATGCAAACCAAGTCTTAGTGCTATGTAAACAGTTAAAAGTTCTGGGGTTAATATTATCCAACCGCTATAAACTAAAGACCATGAACTATCTTTTGAGGTAAACACTAGCCAAAGCTAAATTTCCTCCATTTGACTACTCATTATGAGGACGTTGTGTAGACTCTCAAACTCTGCACTTAATTGCTGTTGTATCAAACAAATAGCCCTCTCTAATGGTTGGGTAATGGCTAGAAAAGTGTTTTTCCAGAATTATGATGTCACAGTGAAGCTGATCTTTGACCTTTTAGATACAACGTGTCATCACTTAATCATTTTATCCTATTAGACCTTTGTTTTCATAATTAGTGTATGAGTTCTTGAGTTAAAGCCAAAAAATGTTTTGAGTGGTGACAGTGATCAAGCGGATGTTTGTGCCAAATTTGAGGAAACTCAAGGTTTTCTTGAGATTTTGTGTTCACGAGAGTAAGACGGATGCAAGGTCACAGTGACCTTTGACCACCAAAATCTAATCAATTCACTGTTGAGTCCTAGTGGATGCTTGTGCCAAATTTGAAAAATAATTCCCTCAAGATGTTCTTGAGATATCGCATTCACAAGAATGAGACAGACGTGGTCACAGTGACCTTGACCTTTGACCTATGCTTACCAAGTTGGATCACTTTATCTTTGAGTCAAAGTGGACGTTTGTACCAAATTTGAATAAATTCCCTCAAGGCATTCTTGAGAGCTTTATTTTTGGTTTTGTATTGTAGTTTGTGTTTGTCTTTGTTGCAAACTGTTGGAAATGTAGAATAATTTCATCTGAATAAATGACTGTTTAAAAACTCTAAACTCTCACTCCCTTTCTCTTCTTTGCTTTCTCTTGACAAACACATTTCTACACCCACATTTCCTGGAATGCAATGTGATCTTTTATCATTTCTTTGGCTTTTTTATAAATGTGTGTCATTCATGTATTACTGTAACAAATTCTAATCCATCTTTTTCTAAACCTATTTGATCCACGCCTGAGGAGTGGAATGTGTATGCACGTTTGTGTTGGGCTGAAGGGTTATGCAACAGCAAACAGAGTGTGAGACTGGAGCATGTGAAGTAAAGGAACAACATGGCCTAAACTGATGATAACAACAGCGCTCACATGGACCAGGCTGTTAGATGGACTCTGACCATTTAACATTTACACATCTGAAACTGAGCTGTGACATAACCAGAAAACTGTTTAATTACAGTTACTATGGAATGCCATAAGAAATAATAAATGAGATAATCTGCATTTGCTGGAGCCAAAACATACCGAAACACATACGACCCTAGATGCCTAAATTCAGGACAAATAAATCCATTCAACAAGTAAAGAGAGCTTTCTTCAAACAAAATATATAAAATCTAGATAGCATTGCAAATGAATCAAAGTTCTGTTCATTTTAATTTTTCAGCTGAATATTTGTTAGGTGATTGGAATAAAAAATTATTAGGGGATGTCAGGAATCACATCCTGCTGCAATACACATGTGGAAAGTCAAACAAAAAAGCTGAGAAGGCTGACAGCTGAGAACATAATGTAGATTTCCAGTCACTGATAATCAAGTACCAAGATATGTAGAACAGTCAGTTTTACAGCTCAACATTCTATAGGTATAAAAATACTTAATGCTCGAACTTAAGCTATGCAGTGTGGAATGTGCTGTCTGCAGTAATAATTCTTCCCTGGAGTTTGAACAGCACAGGGAAGTACAGTAAATGAACTGGAGTCTCAGGTCAGACTGTGGTTTGCTAAGATTTCCAGGTATGAGGAACCACCGGGTATTAGGTGTCAGTGTTGTCTTTACCCATGAAGCCATGTGTTTCAGATTTGTTTTTTGTAGTGATGTGGACTGTACATTTACTTTAGACAAGTCACACTCTCTGCAGCTCTTCTGGAGGAGTAGAAAGACCATTTTCAAGGTCCAAGTGGTTTACTCAAGGCATGCAAGGCAAATGCTATAAATGTTAGCTAAGTTAATACTTCTGAGTCTGACTTAATGGCTCCAAACATCTAGGTGGACACTTACTTGGAGCACACTTTGGACCCGATGGACCGCCTCAACAGAACATCACCAGCAGAAACACTGCTCATCGCTTTATACCTTTATTTTTGTTATTCTAGAAAATTTCCAATGTGGTATCTTCCAATTCAGGGCTCCAGGCTGCGACCAAATAGTCACATTTTTTTTACATATAATATAATTTGGCAACTTTTTAATAATAAACTAGAATATGTTTTGCACAGATTTCTAATCAACTGCACAATTCCACAAATGTTGACTTTTTCCTGACATCATAAGTAATGCATTGAACTCGGCAGGATTCACTTGTTTGCTTCTTTATGAAGCTTTGGTATAACAGGTTTCAAGGGTAAACATCCTGAAGGCTGGGCAATTTACATACACCCATACGCTGTTGTCAGGAAGTCAGTAATGCCTACCAGATATGCTACTATGCTCCTATTTCAAGTGATTTCATACTTAAATTTCCAAATAAGCAGTGACGTATATGCCTGTTTAAAATCAAACACAGACAGGATTTAAAGGACTACTCAAACAACCCTGCCTCCTATCAGGCCCTTGAGTTGTTTTACATGAGTGAACTGAGTGTGTGCCCTTACCTACCAGAGAGGCTCTGGATGCCAGCACAAGCATATGATAAGAGCCAGTAAGGTTGAGAGCTCAACAGTGAAGTGCTTTTAAGTAAGTCACTCAAGCCACTACAGACACACCAACACCAAGAGAGTGGAGCACATTACACCAGTGCTTAAATCACTGCACTGGCTTCCTGTGTGTCAAAGGATAGACTTTAAAATCTTGTTACTTGTCTATAAAGCACTAAATGGTCTCGGGCCTAAATACATCTCTGATATACAGTACAGGCCAAAAGTTTGGACACACCTTCTCATTCAATGCATTTTCTTTATTTTCATGACTGTTTACATTGTAGATTCTCACTGAAGGCATCAAAACTATGAATGAACACATGTGGAGTTATGTACTTAACAAAAAAAGGTGAAATAACTGAAAACATGTTTTATATTCTAGTTTCTTCAAAATAGCCACCCTTTGCTCTGATTACTGCTTTGCACACTCTTGGCATTCTCTCCATGAGCTTCAAGAGGTAGTCACCTGAAATGGTTTCCACTTCACAGGTGTGCCTTATCAGGGTTAATTAGTGGAATTTCTTGCTTTATCAATGGGGTTGGGACCATCAGTTGTGTTGTGCAGAAGTCAGGTTAATACACAGCCGACAGCCCTATTGGACAACTGTTAAAATTCATATTATGGCAAGAACCAATCAGCTAACTAAAGAAAAACGAGTGGCCATCATTACTTTAAGAAATGAAGGTCAGTCAGTCCGGAAAATTGCAAAAACTTTAAATGTGTCCCCAAGTGGAGTCGCAAAAACCATCAAGCGCTACAACGAAACTGGCACACATGAGGACCGACCCAGGAAAGGAAGACCAAGAGTCACCTCTGCTTCTGAGGATAAGTTCATCCGAGTCACCAGCCTCAGAAATCGCAAGTTAACAGCAGCTCAGATCAGAGACCAGATGAATGCCACACAGAGTTCTAGCAGCAGACCCATCTCTAGAACAACTGTTAAGAGGAGACTGCGCCAATCAGGCCTTCATGGTCAAATAGCTGCTAGGAAACCACTGCTAAGGAGAGGCAACAAGCAGAAGAGATTTGTTTGGGCCAAGAAACACAAGGAATGGACATTAGACCAGTGGAAATCTGTGCTTTGGTCTGATGAGTCCAAATTTGAGATCTTTGGTTCCAACCGCCGTGTCTTTGTGAGACGCAGAAAAGGTGAACGGATGGATTCCACATGCCTGGTTCCCACTGTGAAGCATGGAGGAGGAGGTGTGATGGTGTGGGGGTGTTTTGCTGGTGACACTGTTGGGGATTTATTCAAAATTGAAGGCACACTGAACCAGCATGGCTACCACAGCATCCTGCAGCGACATGCCATCCCATCCGGTTTGCGTTTAGTTGGACGATCATTTATTTTTCAACAGGACAATGACCCCAAACACACCTCCAGGCTGTGTAAGGGCTATTTGACCAAGAAGGAGAGTGATGGAGTGCTGCGGCAGATGACCTGGCCTCCACAGTCACCGGACCTGAACCCAATCGAGATGGTTTGGGGTGAGCTGGACCGCAGAGTGAAGGCAAAGGGGCCAACAAGTGCTAAACACCTCTGGGAACTCCTTCAAGACTGTTGGAAAACCATTTCAGGTGACTACCTCTTGAAGCTCATGGAGAGAATGCCAAGAGTGTGCAAAGCAGTAATCAGAGCAAAGGGTGGCTATTTTGAAGAAACTAGAATATAAAACATGTTTTCAGTTATTTCACCTTTTTTTGTTAAGTACATAACTCCACGTGTTCATTCATAGTTTTGATGCCTTCAGTGAGAATCTACAATGTAAATAGTCATGAAAATAAAGAAAACGCATTGAATGAGAAGGTGTGTCCAAACTTTTGGCCTGTACTGTACTTGTACGTTATGAAGCATCCAGACCCCTCAGATCATCTGGAACAGGTTTACTCAGTGTTCCCAGGATCAAAACCAAACAAGGTGAAGCAGCCTTTAGTTTCTATGGTCCCCGCCTGTGGAACAAACTTCCAGAATATCTGGGGTCGGCTGAAACTGTCAACTCATTTAAATCAGGGCTTAAAACATTACTATTTACTGCAGCTTACCAGTGAACTAGATATGTAACTTATTGTTAGGATAATCTGTAGCTATTGTTTTTATATTTGTCTGCTCTTGCTTTTGCTTTATGTTTGCTTTTTAAATGCATTTTCTGTACTGTTTTTCTTGCTTTTAGCTTTTGTTTTTAATGATCTATTGTTCCTTTAATGTTTTATCTTAACGTATTTATCTTGTAAAGCACATTGAATTGCCTTGTGTATGAATGGTGCTATATAAATAAAATTGCCTTGCCTTGCCTACAGTGCAGTGACACATTTCAGCCAAGTTAGGTCGTCAGACTTAAAAAACATAAAGATTTACACTTGTCAAAGTAGAAAGTGACAGATTGAACTTACAGGTACATGATGAAGAGAGTGCTCATCACCAGCAGAAAGCGGGTCAGGTTAGAGTTGAAGTACACAATCATGAGCAGAACGCTAAATCTTGCGGCGGAGTACAACCAGTCCAGCCAATCACGCTCCATATCCTCCTCGTCCTCCATCATGGGCCCGCCCTGTGCGTTCATCCGCATGTTCTGGTTGGCCTCTCCGGGGTTGATGAAAGCCCCATCTTGCACTGGGTTCTGATTGGCTGGCAGGTTGTTGATGGGGTTCTGATTGGCTAAGGGGGCTGGGACAGGTACTTGGTGGGCTGGAACGGGAGGGTACTGGCCAATGGTTGTAGCTGGTGCAGAGGGGAAAGTGCCTGCTGCGGCCAATGCTGCATGACTGTTGGTGGAAAATTTGACAAACGTCAAGCGTATGAAAAACTAGCCGGACACCCTCAGCCATATAAGATAAAATAAATGAGAACTCACTATTGCATGTAATACTGTCTTGCGTAGACATGTTGGAGCCAGAGTAGCTGTTGAGGGCTGTACAGGGAGTAGGTGGGAAAGGCTGGTTGGGTCATCTGTGGCGCTCCAGGCCTGCAGGGAACAATGACAGATATCAGATTAGTATCTGTTAAACAATGTAAACTTCATCCAGTGATATTTAAGAGAAAGTGTACGTTGGAATGACAATAAAAAAATATATATAATCCACTTTTTTATATATACATTACTTTCTATAGTTATACTTAAAGGCACTGCAGAATTATTTTTTTCTAACATATCTAATTAGGGTTTCTGCATCTGTTTGGGTTGAGACATCTTAAATGCAAATCAAGTGTGTTTCAATAATGGTTTGACATGCCCTCTTTCACTTCCCCTAAGCTCTTGATTATGTGCCCATATGCTGAGTGAGGATTTCAAAATAAAATGCACTCAATCACTCTTAAGCAGCCCTAATAATTCATTAGTGGTGTCACGATTCTCCAAATCCATGATTCGTGAAAGCTTTCGATTTTAAGGTAACAGTTCCATTCAGTTTTCGATTTTAGTATGGCGGCTATGTCACTGTTAGAATATCAAGTGTTGATTTGTAGAGATCAACAGCTCATTGGTTTTATGCCCTGAGAAATTGTCATTTACATTTTAATATTCTTCAGTCAAAAGATAGGCTACATGGTATTAGGTGATTTAACTACCATATTTTTGGTGGTAATGTACCACAATTAATGCCATATGGTAAAATTTAAATAACTTATATAAAATGTAATAAATAACAATAACTTATTGCACCAGCCAATTGAAAAAACTGTTAAACACAAAACAACAGCCACTAGATGGCAGAGGGGTAGGTTACAATAACAGCTTGAGTTTCCTCACTTGCAAAAGCCACTTTCACTTTTACTTAAACGGGCACTGTGTAGGAATTTCTCCTATCTAGTGTTGAGATCATATATTGCATTCAAACGGATAGCGCACTCTAGCACCTCACTGTTTCAAACGCGTATTGCAACAACGGTAGCTGCTGTGTACCAAAAAGCTATGATAACATTGATGAAACCATGTCATCCGATACTTCATGGAGTATTCATTCAGGCTCCTACACAGACACACACGATGCGAGTTGACAAACCCCCCCCCCCTCACCATGCTGGCTGTGTTTACAATGTAGGACTGTTGGGGCGGGTGTAAATCAAAACAAACCAATCACATCTTGTCTTTTGAAAACTGACTAGTGTTGTCACGATACCAAAATCTTTGTTTCGGTACCAATACCATTATGAATTTCGATACTTTTCGATACTCTTCGGTACTTTTCCTAAGGAAAAGTCCTTTTGGATACAAACCTTTAAAACAATAAATAGTAGGGGTGTAACGGTACCAAAAAAATCATGGTTCGGTAAGTACCTCGGTACGGACGTCACGGTTTGGTAACTCAAATGTTCCACCAAGTTTGTGTTGTCTCGTGTTGTCTCCCTTTGCAAGGCAGACTTTCTCTTGTCTTTTTTCACGTACGCCAGCTGCGGATGTTGATACAGGTGTTGTCATACACACCACTTGCGCAATCTGTGCTCCAATAGGAACAAGGAAGGCGTTTGCGTGCATAAATGAATTAAATAAATTAATGAATTGAATCAATTTAAAAAGTACCGGTATTTTCCAAATGCAGTATAGTACCGTTTGGAATACTCTAGTACCACGGTACTATTTTAGTACCGGTATACCGTGCAACACTACAACTGACTAGCCTGCTTGCTGCTGCTTTTCGTCACTCTACCTGCAGGCGGAAACGCGTAAGGTGATTCCGTATTTCTCAAGTATGTCCCTGTACGTACCTGTATTTTCAAGATGGCGCACGTACATGATGAGACACCGGTTGCAATGTATATGTAAATGAGAATTTTGGAGCTTACGGACATACTTAGATACGCTGATGGAGGTAAATACACATGTGCTAGGACACACTTTTGACTGCAAAATTTGTTTGTCTCAAAGAACAACTGAAATTGTTACACATAGTGCCTTTAAATAGTATAGCCTTCAAACTGTAGTTCTTCAGTCAACGGACGCATTTGGTGTTTACATAACTCACGGGGAAGGCAAAATGTTGCCACAACAGTGACTTCATGGAAACAGGAAGATTTTACAGTACTATTATTTCCCAGTCATCTCGGACTCAGACAGCAGCCATGGTGTCCCAAAAAAGTGCAGCTGCAATAGAGCTGGGAGATATGGACAAAAATTCATATGTATTTTCAGGCTTAATGTTGATACACAATATATATCCAGTATTTTCTATAAAATGGGCTACATGTTTATTTGCAAGTTCAGGCCACATTTGAGATGTCACAAGCACTTTTATGAAAAACAGACTGATCAAAATAAAATGCAAAGACAAGGATTTTTTTCCTTGTTTGAAAATATACAGCTGCACAACATATAAATGAAAAATTATATTAAATAAATAGCAGGGCTGTACGTAAACTTTTGCACATAGCACTAGAGCTGTAAAGCTTTAAGGGTTTGCAGCACAGGACACAAAACAATAACTTGACTATAAAAGTATCAAGTAGGCCTAAATCCAATGTAGTTTGCCACAATAAAAAATCTTTGTGGCGGGTTTTCTATGGCCTTTCATATAAATCTAGTGCTGGAAAATGATTTAAATACATTAATTAATTGGGCTATAATTCTTATTTATGATCTTATTTATCTGATCAGATGCTGGAACCACTTCAACTCGATGCGAAGGAGCAGTGGCTCTACTCTGAGCTATGTCCAGGTGTCCGTGCTCCTTACCCCATCTCTAAAGCTGAGCCCAGTCGCCCTCCAGAGGAAGCTTATTTCTGCTGCTTGTAGCCGTGATCTCATTCTTTCTGTCACTACCCGAAGCTCATGACATATATATGAGAGTTGGGACATAGATAGACTGGCAAATCAAAAGCTTTGCCTTCTGGCTCAGCTCTCTCTTCACCACGACAGTCTGGCGCAGCACCCATATCACTGCAGATGATGTGCCCCACAAAAATGTTTTTAATTTAATAATAATACATGTTGATGTTTTCAACATTATAAAGAGTTAGGAGACAGAGTCCTCCATCTTTTCCAAAACCACTGAATTGCCCAAGCTGGAGATCCCACAAAGATTATACTGGCCAGTCTAAAGTTTAACTGCAACTTTAACATTCTCACTGGTGTGTATACATATCTAATTTTTTTCAGTTTTTATAGAAAAGATATCCTGAACACATCCTTATTGCCAAAAAAATGTGCTGTCTGTTGATGCCAGTGAGACTAAATACAGTTCAGCGGACACATAATTTGTTCCATTATGACTTACACTGCAGCAGTAGGCCACGAAGGCATTCCTGATGGAGACACTGGGTAGTGTGCATGAGTTGAAGCAGCAGCAGCTGAAGCTGAAGAGTTCTGCCTCCTCTGCCTCAGCTCTGGTGTGCTTGGAGTCTGGACTGTGGAGGAGGAGCTGCTGGAACTGGCTGCCATGGGCCTCGGACTAGAGGGACATGGCTGTTCCGTCTCTTTGGTCTGCAAAGGCAAGAGGAGTTTGAACTTCTGTCACTAGGCACTACAGCAAAGCCACTGTAATAAGACAAGCCTGTAGAGGTGTGTTTAATTATCTAGGATGAACAACACCTTAGAAGTTTTGTAGTATTAGTTGAGGCAGAGCAGGGCATTTCAAAGGGTAGTGAAACTAAAGTGAGTTATCTTTAGCTGTATGTTTGATCTCTAAGCTGTGGATGAGTTGTAGAAGATGACAGCTGAAGTGAAACAGTTCCACTTCACAGTAGGATGGTAATGAGGGGGGAGGTGAGGAAGTGCTCCTTCAAGTCTCAGAACTAAAACCTGCCTTTGAGCTTGATATGTCTCAGTATACTGGAGCTCCTTTAAAATCCCACAAAAACCTATGTATGCTGTTGAATTTATGAAAACGGAAACATCTGTTGAGTTTGACAGTTTGACCACAGTTCATGAGTGGTAATAGACCTGACTGACAGCTGTGTTAGAGACTCCTCTGCTCTGACTGGTTGTTTTCCTTCAACCATAGTAGATTCTAACATGTGCGATTAGAAGCAAAATGAGGAAGGAGGAGGAGGAGGAGGAGGAACATGATTTGTTTTCACAGATTATTTATCTCATCCCTCATCCCTGTCAAGATATAGTCATCAATCAAATATGACAAAAGTTATATTTTTATAAAAGTTACTGACTGTAGAGGAGACAAACACAACTTCCCACTCGAAAAAGTACTTTGTGAAAACACTGTGAAAAACTGAATATGAGTAAACCTCTTCATCCCTCACCTTAGGTCTGGCTCCAAGGGGTCCTTGGGGTGGATTCCTAAAAGCACACACCAGGTGCAGTGTGGGAATGGAGTCAGTCTGAGAAAGTGGAGATAAATGCCTGTATTATAAACATGGTAAAACACACTGATACATTCAAGCCTTTACATTAAACAGAATTAAGCCTATTAAACATTAGTATGAGCACCAACTGTCTCTACCACCATGAAAAACAACTGACAATAAACACAAGCCTCACATAAACCACACAGCAGGGCCGTGAGAAAAAAAACAGGGACTGTATGTCCTTTATTTACCTAGCAACAACAAATTCCAGAGGCCTGTACTATGAAGAAGGATTTGGGGTTAGCGAGGTAATTTTGGGGTTGATTCTGGGTTTTCAGTACTATGAAGCTGGTTCACTTTTTCCTGGGATAAATCCCTGTGGTAACTTAAAGTGAACACCTAACCTGCTCCAGAGCAGGTTGTCCTGATATAGAAAAAAGTCTACTAAGAGTGACAGGCAAGAAGAGTATGTATTTTATAGGTCAGAAGAATCATTTTATTTTTTTTAAGGCTTTCTATTTCCACTCTGGTTTTAAAACAGATCGACCTTCTAACAAATGGAGAGATCGTTTGCAACAATAAACACATAATGAGGATTTTTAGCTACATTTTTAATTGTGCAAATTTTATTTTATCCTCAGAGTGATAGCTGACAGTGTAGCTGACTTTATGAGAAACCTGTGAGAGGTAACTAGAAACTAGAATCACCACCCTGTGGTTGTATGCCTCCACGCACCAGTCAAGTTTCTCTTCCAGTTTACAACCATGTCTGTGAAAACACTGATGCATCACACACATCTTCCTCCGGCAGCACAGAAGATCTATACAATGAACACAGTTTCAAGGTGGACACCCAAGATGAATGTCACCTATTAAGTATCTGACCAAACATATCCCTTCTGTTCCTGAGATATGACGCTGATTAATGTCCAGAAAATTGTTTTATGCAGAACATCATGATGTCACGTTTTATTTTGTCATAATTAGCATGTGAATTCTTGAGTTATGGCCAAAAATGTGTTTTGTGAGGTCACACTGTCCTTGACCTTCAACCACAAAATTCTAATCAGTATATTCTGTTTGTGTCAAATCTTGTGAGTCTTGTGACAAATTCCCTTTAGGTGTTTTTGAGATATCGTGTTCACGAGACTGTGACAGACAAGGTCACAATGACCTTGATCCTTGACCACCAAAATCTAATCAGTTCATCATTAAGTCCAAGAGAATGTTGTGCCAAATATGAAGAAATTCCCTCGAGGTGTTCTTGAGATTTTGCGTTCACGAGAATGAAACAGATGCAAGGTCAAAGTGACCTTGACCTATGACCCTTGACCCCCAAAATCTAATCAGTTCATCCTTGAGTCCAAGTAAATGTTTGTGCCAAATTTAAGCAAATTCCCGAGGCGTTCCTGAGATATTGCGTTCACAATGGTGAGACAGACAAAGTCGACAGTGACCTTTACCTTCGACCACCAAAACCTAATCAATTTATCATTGAGTCCAATTGAACATTTGAAAAAATTCCCTCGAGGTGTTCTTGAGATATCATGGTCACAAGCGCGGGATAGACAGACGCCGCTAGCCGGCAGGCATAATATAAACCAAAGATTATATTTCATTAGTAAAATTAGTCCATATACTGTTAATTGGCTCCCTTCATTATAAATGTGACATTTCAGTCAGACAGACCTCATCAGTCTTTGAACTACTTTTCCAAGCTTTACTTTAGTAGCAGAAACATTTTGACATTTCTTCTACATATAACATATTCAGAGTAGTTATCATCCAACTGAAAAACAAAAAATACTTACACTATTCTTAAGTCATATATTTAATAAAACCTACAGCCTCGCCTATAGCCTTGGCTTACTTTTATTTTTTGGAAATTATTCTAGTGTTTCTACATGTTCTTATTCTATTGTAAGATTATAGGCCATGATTTAAGCGTCACTCGAATGAATATGACTTTCTTCCGTCCCATAAACAGAACATTCATAAATTAGTATCACTCTTTCATCTCATATCATATTAAGTACATCATTCATGGTTCTGATGATCTCCGATCAGGCTGATGCACAAATATTTTTACAGTTTACCTCAATGTTATTACCTCACAGCTCCATAGAAACCTCTTTACATATTTTTTATCCACAAAATAGTGGAGAATGGAATAGAATCAAAACAGTTTGGTTCTGGATACTCTGAGTCAGCAACTCTGAGATAGGTCCATCCAGTCTGAGGATAGTAAGCTTTCTAAAGATGGTGATTGGTTTACACACCTCTACGCACAGAGCTCTAAACAGAGGCAAACACAACAGGTGGTGAGGTTGATGTCCTCTTTGAGGATTCTGGATGATTTTTGTCTCATAGCTCTCCAGCAATATGAGCCTCAACTGGGATTTGCAAACAATAACCAAGAACCAGACACATGAAATATTATACCGCGCTGGTTTAATACAGCACAACAGTCCTTTGACAGGTCATGAAGAGCCTTTTGCCGCTATTTATTATCAAAAAGGGTGGTGAGAGAAAAGTATTTTGGATCCAGCCTACCTAGCCAGTACAACAGCATGAAAGCAAATCAACATATTTCAATTACTAATTTCAGGTTTTGCAATGAGTACATGTTAAACTTTACTGACATGAAGGTCTAGAAAAAAATCTATTTAAGTCAGCAAAATATTAATTATAAAGTCCAATGTCACAGTGTTAATTTCGTTGACGAAAACTATGATGAAAAATTTTCGTCAACGACCTCTTCAATTACAAAAACAAGATGGTGATGGGCCAAATAGATCTTGATAATAAAGATGAAATCTATGTTTCATTTTTGTTGATGAGATGCGATGAAAATGTTAGTGGTTATCTATCAGACATTTAAAGCTGAGAATGGCTGTACTTGCAATTATCTTCAAATGCTACAAGAAGGACAGGCTGGTAAACTCCGGTAAATAGTCTGCGCCAGGATGTTTCACTAGCCCAGAGCAGCAGTAAATAATCAGCTGTGTATGTCTTACTATGGATAGTGGAGCTGTCAGCAGTTAGTGCTGCTTGTTAGCCGCTGAGCGGCAGCGAGCAAGCAGCCACCGACCACCGCAATTCCCAGCTGATCTCCGCAGGACTGCACTCTGTCCAGACTTAAGAAGGTTTGTGGTTTGATGCTGTCTGACAGGCAGGTAGGAGGCTCAGTTATCTGTGAGTGTAGCTGTGCTGTAAGTAAACTGTCTGAACTCAGATCAGTTTTCTCTGACAACTGAAAGCTTAGTTTTAATCACCAACTCTGTGAGAGAACACAAGTTTAAACCTCCAGACTAAGATGATGCAGATTCAGAATCCAGGCTTTAATGAAGGTATTTCTCTGCTTCTTAACAGCAAGATGGATAAGTCAGAGTTTACAATGAACCTGGGTACAAGCCCTAGTTGTCTCAGATTAGTTATTTGTGGTATCAAAGTTTATGAGAGCATAAATAGAGAGATGTTGAGCTTTTCAAATGATGATCAGTAAGTGTGTGCTCGTAAATCACCCCTCAAACCTGTCAAACACTGCTGGAGAAATTACAGTTTGTAAGTGTGTAGAATTATTCGTAGTTGTAGAAAAGAAATTGTCTAAATTACATTTTTTATACAACTTGTCACCTTGATTCTAATGTCTGATCCCTGAACTAGCCTCACTGGATCAGTTTGAAGATAAAAAAAAATATAGAAAACTTCATGACTAAAAGTCAACTAAAATGTCATGAATTTTCATCGACTAAAACTATGAAGGACAAAAATGACTAAAATGTGACTTAAACTAGTAAAGCATTTTCATCTCAAGACTAAGACTAAAAACTGTCAAGAATAACACTGATCACAAATCACAAATTTCCCTCAGTGGGCTTTACAATCTACACAGCACACGAGCCCTCTGTCCTTGGATGCAATTTTGATAAGGAAAGACTTTTGCAAGTACAGCCATGTGTACTTGGAAACAGACAAACATACACTCACACATACCTGTCTGAAGAGATCTTTAATGTGCAGATGATCAGGTAGCAGTTTACCAGCATAGATGAGTCTCTGCTCACTCACAGCCTACAGAAAAAAAACAGGTGGGTTTATCTTTTGAGATAAAGTAACTTCAGTGACTAACAAATTATGACTTGATTTGGGTGATGTTTCTGCAGATGGGAAACAACCTTCAGGAATTTTTCAATGTCAGTGATGGTTGAACTGACTTTTTGGGGAAAAAAAAAAAATTGAAATCATTTTTTTACCCCAAAGCAACAGCTTTTTTCAGTTGTTGTCAATAAGTAGAGAGTGTGTGCAGCAACAAGTGGCCGCTGAGAGAAAAAGCACTGCTCCTGAACCTTTCAGAGAGTGCTCTTTTTTTTTTTGCAAGAAAGCACGTAATAAATTGAGATTCTCATTTGTTGGCATGTGTGTATTTATATGTTCTAGGCTGGTATGTAAGTAATGGTAACACAACACAGATGTTTGTATGTATGAACTGATCTAAGGTTTCAAGGTTCCCTTCTCTCATTTTCTATGCATGTATGACTAAACTGTGTATTATATATTTCCATTTTCCATGCAAAGCATGTTTTTATCTCTGGGTTTAAAACACACTATACAAATACATTTTATAATTGTCTCAATTATGTCTTCATGTATTATATTTTGATATTACCTGCACTGCCAAATTTAATTAATACTTATGACTCAGTGTTATTTCTGCTAAAGCACGTATCTCATTTTCCAGACTTGATCGGAAATCATTAACTTTACTCTCCCACCTTGGACCAACATATTTGAGAGCCTACAGCCTGACCCCACCTCATATGTACACTTTGCATCGACATCCTCTCCTCTCTACTGAAGCATAGATCCTCTTCCTTTCATCTGTCCTCTGTCATCTCAGCAGCAGTTTCGGTGTACACTGTGCTGTTTAACCTGTAGTCTCTAAGGAGGATGAAACTTGGCTGCTTGATGCTTAGGGTTTCGGTCACTTAGCTGACTGTCCTATTTAAGTCAAAGCAGCTCATTCTGTCATTCAACTTTTTATATATTATCATCAGACAGCTCCACAGCCCAAGCCTTGTGTCTACAAAAATTAGTAATTAGGGATGCCCACTGTTGGATTTTATGCTGATATCCGATATGCCGATATATAACGACTTAACTGCCCAATCAATAACCAATACCAATATATCCACTTTTCCCCCACCTAATATTAGTAATAATTAAGTTTATTCTGTATGAATTAACATCATAACATGCATGCATAGTCTTAACAGTCATAGTCATAATCTTATCACGGGATTTCCCTATAAATTAATACCCGGTGGGTACAGTTAATCTTTATAACATTCCTACACACTGCCTGTTTTCGGGAAGCCAACTACTGTAAGTTAACGCCTTCAAAAGTTCCTGATACTTGTGCAGGTTTGTTGTGAGCACACACAAACAGAGTCAGACATTAACAGGCTGACAGCTGTTAACTGGTGTCAGCCCTCTTGTCTCACTCAGCTGGTTCGTGCCATCACATTCCAGAGCACAGCCTCGAGATGCTTGTCACACGAGCTAACTAACGTTAGTTCCGCCAACGTTAGCTAGCTGCTAACTTAGCGTACGTTATCCGCCTCACAATTACTCACCGGTTTGGTTGCGTAAACAGTCGACAAATGTGTTTTTAGGTCCTTTACAGTCCAGTGTAGATAGACCCCTTCGACGGCTTGGTCCTCCTGAGCCTGGTTGGGCGTTTTTATAAGGAGAGAAATCGTCTCTCGTTGGGAATCTCCCACATCCATTTTTTACTCTTTCACTAAGTGTACTCTCGGTCTTTGGACGATACAATTACTTAATATGTTACCACTAGTGTAAATACCAAAAGTCCTCCTGGTACACTTTATCAGTGAATAGGTGAAAACGACGCGAACTGTTTCGTCTACTGAGTAACTCGCTAAACTCGGCTGAATCTCAAAGTGTCTTTGTGCTGGCTGTCATACGGGACTTTAGAGAGAGGAAGGGTTGTTTCCAAACACACTGTGGCCGCTCCTGATTGGTTACAGTCCGCGTGTGCTCAGACGTGGAGGACTTTAAGCAGTCGCTCTGTGAGCATGCGCAAATAAACCAAAGATCGTTTATATGTAAATCACACACTCTAGTGCTATTTTGCCAGCTACCCCAAAATAAACGTTAAATACAGACTAGCTCGTAGACAGTGAATGTATAAGTAAAAGCGAATGAGCCAAAAGATTATTTATTTGTCAGTTTAAAATGAAAAAAGATAAATGTCGGCAAATTAGTTCCTACTTTTTTTGGTGTTAGACGTTTGTTGCTCCTGAAAACGTAGACAGAGTGAGTGGTCTTTTTTTTCTTTGTACTCTCTGACAGCGAGACGTTTTTTTGACAGCTGAACTTCTTTTTATCCACCGAAGTTGCATCAGACGCGTTCCATCAGCTGTTAATCGACCTGAAAATGATTCCAACGATCTTATTCTGTAGCCTAGCTGTGTAATTATAAACAGAAAAATAAAGTACTATTATAATTATACTTGGAAAACAAACTGACAAGACTGGATGTCAAACGCTCAAGTTCTGGATGGTGAAAATATGGCACTCCACATAACCATAGTGGTTTGTCAAGAGTAATTTTTTGGGGGACTACGCCTGTTTTCAAAATCCATACATGTCATTCCTATGATCTAAAACAGTAAAAAAAAAACTTGTTAACATAAATAGTAACTCTTTCCAAATCCAAAAACAAGATTACTGAAACTCAAACTTGTGATGTCATAGGGTAAAAGGTCTGGAAATACTTCATAGGCAATGAGTGGTGAAAGATGTTTTGGATGACACTGAGAACACCCAGGGTAGTGGTCTGAGTATATGGGCACATGTTCTGTTTCAGGGCTGAGAACATTACAAAACAATTAAGCTCATTTGGGAAGAAAAAGAAAAACATTTTGCAAGTCTACGAAATCAGGCTACCATTCACTGTCTATGGAGCTGCTAGAGACTTTGCTCTCTGACTTTGAGAGAGAAAGGCTCATGTTCACAAATATTCATTGAACTTTCCTAGGCCATGGAAATAACATAATTTAATTGTGTCATACTCACAGTATTTTAATTGCAACATGTCAAAACATTGACCCAAGTGAAAGTACAATTACTCCCATGAAAAAAATGACTCAAGTGAAAGTAAAAGTAAAAAAAAAAAACCTGTCTGCTTAATAAATTACTTATTTAGTTACCTTCCATTTTAATATTTTTTATGGCATGCTCAGTGCAAAATAAATAAAAAAAAAACACACTTGTTAAAAAAAAACTTTTTCTTTTAATCTTTATTTTTCTATGAAGCAGAGCAGGTAGGCTAACAAACAAGGATAGCATACAGTTGAGACATGAACAATCTCTCTGTCTGTCTCTCTCTCCATCTCTTCCTCCTTACCCCTCTCTTCCTGATTATTACATTAAAGATTAACATTAGACATGAAAAATTAACATACAGAAAATTCACCTACAGAATGTGTATCATACTTCAAAGAGCTTGCTGGGGTTAGGGTTTTTTTTTAAAGCGGAGATCTCAGTGATTTTCAGGAGGCACAGCAAGCACTTAATTACTTATCAGAGGAAGCTGGTGATTGGGGTCTGATTTTATTTAATTTATTATTATTATTATTATTATTCTGACCCTCCCCAAAGCTATAAACAGTTTTTATTGATTCTCCCTGGGTTATTGTCGGAAAATGCATGACCCTCTCTCCAACATAAATTAGTTATTGGACTTTTACTTTACTTTACTTTACTTACCCTTTAATGTTTGAAAGTTAAAGGTTCAAAGTTTAAAACAAAATCGTGGTGTGAAAAAGGCCCCGGTGTTAGTTTGCTTAGTTTGTACAAATGCTTTGTTTTTGGTCAAATTTTAAGTGACACGTAGAATAAAGTGATTTTGATGAAATATCACCATTTTACGCTAAGATCTTATTATGTATTTTTTTTCCTAACAGAAGCATTCCTCGGACATGATGTGTCCCAGGACCATCAGGAATTTTTTAAAAAAATCCAATGATAATTTCTGTTTTTTTACAGTTTTGGGCTACAATAAATGGTGTAATTTTGGCAGTTTTTAAAGAAAACATGCCTTCCAACTGAGTACAGTAAAATAAATACAAAATGCAGCCATTTAAATATTTATGCCCCTCCTGAAGCTATAATAATAATAATAATAATAATAATAATGTTTAAAAAAAAAAATACAAGTCCTTCCCCCTGCTTAAAAAAGTATCTATGCCAGGTGCTATAATCCTCAAGTGCCTTAACTCAATGTGCTGTCTGTTGGAGCTAGATCAAATGAATGATTCATAATTGATATATTATCCGAAGCCTAATTTTTAAACAAGTAATATTCATGCTGGTTTAAATAAACATTTGATTGTATTCCCCATCTTTGCTGAGCAACTGTTTTTGTGTGAAAGGAATTAAAGGCCTGCCCCATGTAGATGCCTGTCCCAAATATAAGCCTGTTGATTTCAGGGATTTAAGCAAATAATAGCCCAGGCTATTAATTGAAGTTTTATAGTAAGCATAGTACTTAGCAGTTATTTTTCATTTGTTCTGTAAGTCTGTGAAACATGTTAATATCAACAATCAAGTTGAGCTAAAGTAACTAATTGTTGTGCCACAAATTTAAAGGTCTAGTGTGTAGGATTTCGTGGCATCTAATGGTGAGGCTGCAGAACACAACCAACTGAAATTTCTCCCGTGTGCCAAGCATACAGGAGAACTATTGTGTCTGATGCGAAAATGCAAATGGCCCTATCCAGAGCCAGTGTTTGGTTTGTCCGTTCTGGGATCCTGTAGAAACAACATGGCGGACTCCGCAGAAAAGGATCCACTTGTTATGTAGCTAAATGACTCATTCTAAGGTAACATGGACCCGTACCCGTAAATTCTACACACTGGACCACTGAAGGAAAAAAAAAACATTGTGGTGCACATATTTGTCAAACATTACAAATCATTTTGATAAACAATTGTCTTTACAATCAATAATGGCTACAGTTTTGTATATGCTCCCTTCAGTGATTTCCATTTGCAGAGCTTCTAAAATGTGTACATCGTTAAGATGTTAAATTTAAGGGCCAGAAGATGGCAATTACAGAATCTAATCATACATTAATTACAGGATTAGATGATCATCAAAGTGAAAATGTCAGGATGTTAGTGAGTAATCAGTTGTAGTTCAGTATCAGTATACTGGTCTGAAGGAGACATTTCACTGGCAGTAGAAGGTGAGCACGTTTTCCTGATTTCCTCTGACCATCAAAATTGGAGGTCTCAGATCATGTGACAAGAAGTCCAGCCACGCCAGGTAGAGAGTATTGGGACACACTCCTCTCCTCCCCACTGGCATGGTTCTGTCAGGAGACATACAGGGTCACAGTATGACTACTTATAATGATTTAAAAGCATCTACGTACGATCCCTTTTAAAGGTAAAGTGATGGAAGGCTTTAAAAAAATGACAGACAAGGCAACCATTGAGAGCCATTCAGGGTTGTGGTTAGCATGGCATGTAATTATCCAGCCACTCCCAGCATTGTCTACCTTCTAATAGAGTAGCACTCCCGTGACCTTTAATGAAGAATTACTGTACTTACATAACAATCAGAGCAGCTTCTCTGGAGTAATCCTGCAGGACCTCGTTTAGACGAATCTGACGAAGAGACTGGATCACACAAAAAGTTTTACAATTTTAGTTGAGGAAGACAGGAAAAAAGTGGTGTGGGTTGATCAGTTCTTTTTCCTAAATATGCACTGATCAGAAAAAACATTTAATGAGTCCTGGAAACCTTGGGTTCTGGCATTTATGTGGACGCCACGTGACGTGCTCCACCCACCCCAACAATGATGTCAAATGAGTACCCCCCTCATGGCAACAGCACTCCCCTAAAGCCTGGTTCACATTCCACGATTTTCAACGTGATTTTGACGTCACAGAGGATCTTGAGAGCCACCTTCAGTCGGAAGTGAGTCTGCAGATAGTCTGCCACGACGAGTCCTTATGTGTGAACAAGCCTATGAGCAAGTCGCCCCCTCGTCTGTGAATGGGACTGGATATGTGACATGCTAGAAAACTGTAGAAGTCTGACAAATGTGATGAGGACAAGCAGGGTTGCCAGGTCCGCTTATTAGCCACGACTTTGGGCTTGTTTTGTTGTAAAGTCGCTTACAAATATTGGTAGTCGCGGGTTGCGTTTTTTTGGGCTTGTTTCTAAAGAGGAGTTGCTTATTTGGGCTTGCTCTCTCTTTTTTTTTTTTTTTTTTCTTCTTCCTTTCCTACTTGTCTGCATTGGTCTTCATAGCTTAGCGCCACTAAAGGGTGTAAGCTTCTTGTGAAGATTGATGCACTGTTAATCTTGCAGTCAAGTATTTTATACCCATAATGCATGGTTGTGACCGTCACCCACCCTCCCTGGAGACTAGCCTAACAGCCTTTATTGGAAAAACTTCCTAATATGAGCCAGAGAGGGC